TTGGCCTTTGGTTAGGCAAAGAACTTTTTCTTTGCTGTTAAGTTAATAGACATGTTAGGTATGTAAAAATGATCATTTGATAAGTGAAGAACTTGGGAGGCCCAGAAAGGGAACACACTGGGAGTTAGACCACTGGGGTAGTGACAAGTATGACTGGCACTCTCTTCTGGGGTGTGCCACCTGACTGGGGATGGCCAGGAAGGATACTGGCCAGTACGTCCTGATCTCACTGTGATCTTCCAGATGAATGTTAGACCTCTGCATCTGTTACAGTATTAGCTTGGAATCGCTCTGATTTACAATCTCTTTTCCTCATTCTTTTTAGGTCTAGTATTGCTCAAAGAGTGGGCTGATTTAAGTCAACATAATGTGAAAATATGATCTCATAAAAATATTATTCAGGAGGCAAAATGTCATCCTCACTTGACAAAAGAATTGGCCAGTGTTCTTTTAAATAATGAGCTCTCGTTGCCTCAGAGTAAAATAAATGTTAAATAATGTGCGAGATAGCCACTGTTTTCAGAAAATTACCTACTGATACAGTTGTGATGTAGATACTTCGCTCATCCAAAAGTGAAAGCGAATCTTCACATTTGTTTTGTTTAGCACTGGCTTTAAACATGAAATTTTGTTTTCTACTTAAACACCCATTTGTATATTCATCTATAATTATGTACCTTTGTAACTCAAAGTAGAATTTTAAAAAATCTTGACATCAACAAAAAACCCTAGAGATTTGGTAAAACTTTAAAAAGGCTCAAAAATAGAAACTCATAGTATTACACAAAAGGTTAAGTGGTGCCTTGTCAAAGCCATTCATTTGATCAAGTGAATGTAGACAGACCTTAGAGAATAAAAAGTATTAAAAAATACACATGATTAAAATCGGTAAGACACCAACAAGGCAAGAAATTGAAAAGTGCTAAAATAAAAAAATTAATATTACTTTTTTTTTGATACCGGGGATCGAACTGGGGTCCTTGCGCTTGCGCAGCAGGCGGGGAAACCACTGAGCTAAATGCCCAGCCCTTAATATTACTTTTTTTCTTCAAAAATTAAATGGAATTAAACTTAATACATCATTTTGGTATATTATCAAATGTTCTAGGATTTAAGTTTTCATTCCCATCTTTCAAAAGACATCTCTAGACTACTGGTTATTTTTTGTGGAAACTGACAGCACTGATATGTCTGTGGAGATAAAGGTATAAGACATGTAAAACACATTCAATTTATAGATGCAATAAACAGGAGCAGGGATATGAAATGTTCAGGCAGCCATTACAGTGTACAAACACAAACACACACAAGCATTTACCACACAGATAAGGCAAGACAAAAAAATGAGTAACTCTCACTTCCAAGTGCAACTTAAAAGTTTGAATTTTATGCGGATTTTCTGTGGCTTTTATTACTCAACATGCAGTAGCAGTCTTAAATATAAATATGACAAGCAGAAGCATTAGAATTATGCGAGAAGAAAGTTAAGGTATAAAAATATAAAACAAGGCACAGATCTCTGCCCTGTTATGTTGAATTTTCTTCTCAAAGAAGAAATGGAGTTTTATAGGTTTTAACACACATATTAATAAAGGTCAAATTAGTCAGAGACAGAGCTGTGCTGACAAAAATGCCCCACTCTTTATACATGCCTCTGCCCGTCTTTTGGAAATTCATTGACCTTGAGCATGCAGAGAGTAGCGAGGTTCTGCTCCTACTCTACCTAAGTCTGCTCAGCTGATCCCTTGCCCTGGACAAAGGCTGCAGTGCGATGAACTCGTCACTTAAAGCAACTGTGTTGGAGTACATCTATAAGTGGACAGAAAAGGGATGGGACACACAAGTCAGTGAGCGGTATTCATCACCTAGGAGACAGACATAGGACAAGCCCTGTAAATACCCAACATCCGCTCCCTCAGGAGGAGGATATATACATGGTACACATACATGACTGGCATTTGTGGGGTGTTAGCTTTGCCATCAAAACATTTATTATTCTTTTATTTTATTTTTTTAAAATTTTGTGAGACAGGGTCTCACTATGTAGTTCAGGCTGGCCTCAAACTCACCGTGATCCTCCTGCCTCCTGCCTCAGCCTCCTCAGCGCTGAGATTACAGGCATGCACCACCACGCCCAGCTTATTCTTCATTCTTGACACTACACAATTATTCTGCAGAAAAACAAAGCTCAGAATAAATGCTGACAGCTCTTCTTTTGATAGGAGTTTTCCTGCTATTTTGGTAAACAAGTAATTAACAACTTTCTGGCCATTTCTCCATCATTTGAAACCAGAAGTGACATAGAGACAGAAATAACAATGATTACTGCCTGGAGCAAAGGAATACCATCACATAGAGGATTTGAATAACTGCTTCAATTTAAAAAAAACAAAAACAGGCTCGGGATTTAGCTCAGTGGTTTTGCTGTCTGCTGCATAAGCGCAAGGACCCGAGTTCGATCCCTGGTAAGAAAAAAAAGCTAATGGCAAATTAAAAAACAAAAACAAACAAAAACCCATCCAAAAAACCACCTCTGTAGGCTACATGTGAGTGAAGGTGGAGATTTCCTTCTTAAAGGAAACCATCTACACCTCCTTCTGTCATTTGGAAATTAGTGAGCCAAAAGAGAAGATTATACTACTTTCATAAGCAAATAAAATGTCTGACTTACTGTATACTCTATTTTAATTTATTTCAACTTATGTTAAAAAACAAAATACATATGCACTATTTTTTTTCTTCTTTAAAGGCCTATCTTAAGGTACAAAATATTTCCTGTGTAATCCTTTGAAGACCAGAAGGATGGGGAAGGAGGGCAGGGAGGGGAATATAAAAAGAATTCAGATTTGTCATGTACCTGTGTCAACTCCCCACTATGAATGTAATCATTATGTATTGCAAACATGGATAAAAATAAAAAAACAGGGACTATAGAAAATGTAGTAAGAGCTAATATTATCACTTTTTATATCAGTCAGACATCTTTATGAAAGCTACATAAATTTGCAAATGTTCCACTTACCACAGAATTTGTAAGGATAAATGTAAATTTGATTACTTTTATAAAGGATTACACTTTTAGAGATGTCATTCATTTTTTTGGTCAAATATATAACTACAGGTGAAGAAGGGGAGAAAAATTGCTTTCCATCAAGGTTTAGAAAAAGTATAATAAACAATGTATTAAAATTAGCATTTTTTTACTATATTTCTTTGCTTATTTTTGTTTTTTGAGACAGGGTCTTGTTATCTAATTCAGGCTGGCTTTGAACTGACTACATAGCTCAGGCTAGCCTCGATCTCACTGCATCTTTTTGCCTCAGCCTCCCAAGTGCTGGGATTACAGGTGTGCACCATCATGCCTGGCCTCTTTTGTTATATTTCTCTATTTCTGAAGATTAGAAACAGCAAGATAGACAAATCTCTCTAATATATAAAAGTCTGTCCATACTAATTCAAATATATACACAGGCAGATATAATAAGATTATGCAACACTTTTGTCCCTTTGGAGATGTGTATCACAAGGCAACATCCTCACCTTCATCATACTTATGATTATAACTTTTTTTTTTGGTACCAGGGATAGAACTCAGGAGCTTGCGGTTCTGAGTGAGGCAGGTGGCGGAACCACTGAGCTACATGCCCGGCCCTGATTATAACTTTTTTATCAAGGACCAACTAGGTAACAGGCACAGTGTTAGGAGCTTCACAGTCATTATCTCTTACAAAAATATTAGGTAATGATTATCATTTTGATTTTACACAGGAGGAAACCAAAGCCTAGCAAAATGACTTTGGTCAAGGTCATACACCTTACAAATGGGTCAAACAGCACTGGAATTCAAATCTGTCAGGCTTCACAGGCCTATACTATCTCAATGGTGTCAAAATGTTTATGGACTAGGATTAAAGTACCAGAGCAAATAAACTGGGCGTGGTGGTGCACACCTGTAATCTCAGCATGGGGGAGGCTGAGGCAGGAGGATTGGCAAAAGTTCCAGGCCAGCCTGAGTTACACAGTCAGTTCAAAGCCAACCTGAATTACATAGCGAGACCTTGTCTCAAAAGCAAAACAAAACAAAACACCAAAGCTAAAGAAACAATGCTGACTGACAGGACCAACTTAAATTAAGACCAGAGTACTGCGTAGGAAGCCTAATGCAAATTACTAAATTCTCAGGGACCACTTTTTGTTTGTAGGTAAATATACAACTACATTTCAAAAGCCAAACAAAACAAAAAAACAAACGAAGACCCACCCCCCAAAGTCCTTGAAAAAAAATTAACCTAGGTAAGAACTAGTTGATTAATAAATTCAACATCTACTAGGGCATAAAAGTTGATGAGAATATATTCTTTTGAGTACATATCCAATACTATGGTACAGTTAAAGGACAAATACATACAGATTTCTAGTTCATGTACTAATCAAATATACAAAAACGTCATGGTCAAACAAATAGCTATAATTTCTTGAGCACCTACTACGTGTTTAAATATTCTTTCATTTAACACTACAAAAAACAGAAAAAGAAAAAGACATCTGTCACAGTGCTGCAAAATGGCAGAGCTAGGATCTGAAGTGAGATCTATCAGTCCCTCAAATCATATTCTTAAGCATTATGCAATTTAATATTTATTAATTTAAATATTTAATGAGAATGTATTTTGTGAAAATCTATTCTGTAAAAAATAATAATTTATTTCAGATTCTTTTGTTAAATCTGGAGCTTTATCAATAACATAATTTTTTGGTACGGGGATCAAACTCAGGACTTTGTGGTTACAAGGCAGGCGCTGGCACTACTGAACTAAATCCCTGGCCCCAATAACAACATAATTTTTAAAAATTAGAGTATTGGTAGCCAAAATGTTTATATTGCAAAATATTTTACACAGGGATGGGTAGTTTCCTATTTTCAGACATAAGCAAATTATAATCAGTTATTGATTACTAAAACTCCTAATGAAAAGTTACAGAGTATAAAAAGTGCTTACCTGTGCCTTTTCAGTACTTGTAGGATGGAGGTGTCGGCCAAATACCTTCTTCACAATGTCAAGAAATAGACATGTAACAACCATAAGAGTTATGGCAAACCAAGTAGAACCACTTGATAGGAGCTGAATAAATACAAAGTACATATTCTGGGAGCTCAAGAATGGCCTATAGAGAAAGACAGTGGGCTAAATAACAGTGAAAACTAAAAAGACTTAAGTCAAGATATCATGGAAACTTACTATATTTGAGAGTAATAATTTTTTTTGGCGCACGGGGGTGGGGTGGGGGGTGGTTTACCAGGGATTGAACTTGGGACCTTGTGCCTGGCAAAGCAGGCGGTGGTACCCCTGGGCTAAATCCCCGGCCTTGAGAGTAGTAATTTTAAGAGTACTACAGAAAAATGGTTTAAATTGAAAATTAGCATAACCTGGTTGAACAGCTAATAAGGCAAGATAGACATTAATTGTTAAACATAAAAACCCAATTTAATTATTTTTCATAAAAATTGAAGCACTCGACTAGATAACCCTACCTATCAAAACAATGTAGTGATATAGACTGAAGAGACCAAGAAAAGAAATGGTGTATAATAAAATATTTTTTTACTGATTGATCAGTTAAAAAACTTTAAAAGACTGATTATGTAAATGTTAGGCTGAAAGCTTTATTCAGAGGCTCTTCTTTTTTTAAAATTTTATTTATATATTAATTCGTACATTTTAGGTATACAATTACATTTATCATTGGGTGCTTGTACCTGAACATGATGTATCTCAGTTCTTATTTTTTTCCCCATTACCTATGGGCCCTTCACCACCTCCACCCTTCCGTATTTACACAGACTTTGTTTCCATTTTTTTTTCTTTCTCATAATTTTTCCTTTCCTTTCTTCCCTTTCCCCTTCCCCTCCCGCCACCCCTCCACCTTTGGACCTTTTCCTACTTCAAATCAGAGGCTCTTCTTTAAACCCTATTTAAAATAAACGCACTCACAGCAGCCGGGGCAGCCTCTGCCCCTGCCCTCCACTGTGCACAGCCTGGCCACCCCACCACTGCACTGGGCGGAGTCCAGAGAGGCAGGTGTCTGGGAGCCAGGGACGTGGCTGTGACCTCACAGCAGAGCTGCTCCTCTGGCGAGCTTTCCATCCCAACCTTTCTTCCCATCTGATCCCTTCTGTTGGCCTAGGCCTGGGTAGGCTGCAGTCAACACCTAAGAGGCTGGGGGTCAGGAGTGAGACCTGTGCCTGCCTCTCCACCTGTCCTACTCCTCTCATCTGTGCACTCAAGACCTGGGCGGTGCTCCGGCCTATCCAGACAGCCGCTCTACCAATGAAGCAGGTATGGCTGGCAGGTCACAGGGAGCTCCTTTAGAATCTGCCTGTGAGGTGTGAGGTGTGTGTGGCTCTAGCTAGGTATCAATACTTGCTGGGCTGGAAAATGCCCCACAAGAGGGCTCAAGAGGTGCTGCCCTGGGGTAGGAGTTGAGGTCAGTAGTTGAGCACTTGCCTATATCCATGAGGCCCTGGGTTCAATCTGTGGCACCCCCCCACCTCCCAAAAAGGCACTGTCCTTGTAGAATGGGATGTGCTGGTGTTCCTTCGGTGCACCAGGGGAGAGGCTGCCGTGGACTCTGCTCTGCCCAGGCTCTTGGCCCTGTGGACCACCCCAGCCACAGATCCCGATGACCCTGGGGGCCTGCAGCAGTATTATTTAGGGGGTTTTTGGTATCTATCATTTCCAAAGAGTACTGGGAAATATAGAAACAAACAGAAAAAAGAGGAGGATTACAGATGAACAATATGCACAGGGGGCATCTTTATGATACTACACAGAAGCTAATGATTAGTCAAAGATTTTGCCCGATAAAAGGATCAAAGGCATAACAGGCAAATGTAATATAAATTCTCCAAGAGAGAGACATTAGTTGTCTGTCTAGCACTTACTGAAGAACCATGGGAGAAACATGAATCTTTTTTTTTTTTTTCCAGTACTGGGGATTGAATACAGGATTTTCACAATAAGCTACATCCTCAGCCCTATTTTTTGGTTTGTTTTTTGAGACAGGGTCTTGCTATATAGTTCAGGCTGGATTGGAACTCACTATGTAGTCCAGGCTGGCATCAGAACTTGCAGTGATCCTCCTGCCTCAGCCTCCTGAGTGCTGAGATTAAAGGTGTGAGCCACTATGCCCAGCAATTCCAACCCCATTCTTATTTTTTTTATTTAGAGACAGGTCTTGTTGAGTGCTAAATTGCTCAGGCTGGGTTGGAACTTTTGATTTTCCTGTCTCAGCCTCCCACAGTGCTGGGATTATCAGCATACACCACCACATGCACATGAGAAGCATGAATTTCCACCTATTAGAGTAGATTAGTACTTGACTACACTACTGAAATATACAATAGTATATTTTGAGAGACATTAACTCAATAATCAAAATTTAATGGTTATATGGGATATATTTTAGTGCATATATGAATAACTAATTTAGAAGTAATATGATTATTCTAAAGAACACCGATTATGATTACTTTTTTACCTTTGTGACCCTGAGGCTCAGTTCCCACATAGGAAAAATAACAGTAAGATTACTATTATTATTTTTTGAGACAGGGTCTCACTATGTAGCTCAGGCTGGCCTTGAACTCACCAGCAGCCCAGGCTGGCCTCAAAACTTGTGGGGATCTTCCTGCCTCAGTCTCCTGAATGCTGGGATTACAGGCATGCACCACCACGCCCCGGCAAGAGGCAAGAATAAGATTATTGTAATGAGTTAATTATTGTCTTATATAAAATGTACAGAATGTAGCAGGTATTCAAGAAACGTTAAATTTATTTTTTTCTCCCTACACATCAGTAAGATCAATGGAAACAAAGAACTTATTAGGATAGAATCTCAAAATTATTCTGAACAGAATCTGTTCATACTGTATAACACAATAAATGTTTACTACATTTAAATCAATATAATTAAAATATAAGCTAGGTGTGGTGGTGTATGTCTGTAATCCCAGCACTTGGGAGGCTGAGGCAGGAGGATCACTACAAGTTTGAGGCCAGCCTGAGCTACATAGTGAGTTCAAGGCCAGCCTGAACTACATAGTGGGACCCTATCTCAAATAACAATAGCCGGGGATTTAGCTCAGTGGTTCCGTGGTGCCTGCCACGCAAGCCAAGCGAAATGCAATGTCGTCCCGAGTTTGATCCCTGATACCAAAAACAAACAAACAAACAACAAAAAAACCAAAAACAACAATAACAAAAATACATGTATTTACTCACCAGAGAATCCCACTATAAAATAAAGAAAATATAAAATAAAATATAATAGATCCCCATGTAACAAGATGGTTGATCCAAGTCCAAAAATGAGTTTCCAAAGCCATCTAAAAGAAAAAAATTTAAAATGTCTCAAATATAAAATAACAAAGCTTTATCCACTTAGATAAAGCTCAACAATAAAACATTAATTATAAGTATCTAAGAGTGTAATGAAAAGGCCCTAGTAGGAAACTATCATTTCACATTTACAGTATTTTTCTTCTGTGAGGAAGCAGCATTGAAATTTCACAGGATGACTGTATTTCAGTTCTATGGCTTAAAACAGGGCTGGGGACTTAGCTCAGTGGTTCTGCCGCCTTCCTCACAAGCTCAAGTCCCAAATTCGATCCTCGGTACCAAAAAAGGCAAAAAACAAAAAAACATAGCTTAAAACAAATTGTGTTGTTCTGTATCATACACAAAGAAGCAGAATTTCAGTGAGTTTTAACTGACCATAAAAATCAACCAAAGCTTTCCAAAACAATGAATTTAAAGACTTTTCTGATAAAAATTTAAATGAATTATTAAAATAGTAATTGGAAAGTATTCACTGCTGAAAAAGGGAAAATACTTATCTATGGCTAAAGAAATGAAAGAAGTTAACTATTAATTATACACACACAAACTATGTCTACATTTCTAATTTTAGTACCATACCTTTGCTGTGACTGTAATAACCATGACTGTGAAGACCAAAGTGCCAAATGTCCAGTTTCCAAACATCTAAACAGAAAGAACAGACTATTACATTATGTGTTAAATCAGGTACAAGGCAAAGTTATTTCATTCTCTATTGAAAATCTTTTTTTTTTTTTTTTTTTGGCGGTAGTGGGGATTGAACTCAGGAGCTCACACATGCTAGGCCAGTGCTGTGCTACTGAGCCACACCCGCAGCCCTGAAAATCATTTTAATTATTCAAGCCAGTTACATATCTGTGACGATATTAATAAAGTTAAAAGAGTATGAGAGAAGCATTATTGTGCTTATTATTATGATGTACAATATTCCTTTGGGCAGTATCTTTAGACTTGAAATCCAAAGATGGGTTTGCAGTTACATGGCAGAGAATTTTTAGTTAGAATGCTACAGTCATTAGTGAGTGCTTTATTCCTGTCATTCTGTAAAACTGTAACGAAAGTGTGTAAACACAATTACTGTTTGAAAAATTTCCAACCAGAAGTTATAGTTGATCACTTGGCATAGTATTTCTAGACAACATATGCAGAGCAGGAAAAAAGAAACTTAAACTTATTGGTTCTCTGAACAGGTAAAACTTTATATTCTTTTTTTTTTTGGTACCGGGGACTGAACTCGGGACCTTGCACTTTAATTACAAATCTTATGTCTATGTCTTCAAACATATTTTGTAAAATACAAGTCTGACCAGTTCAAAAGGGAAACCAAGGGCCGGGGATTTAGCTCAGTGGCGCCACTCCTGCCTCGCAAGTGCAAGGTCCTGAGTTCGATCCCCAGTATCGAAAAAACAAAACAAAACACAAAAACGGAAACCCAAGGTAATAAGCATTTCCGGTCCACCACAGTACACTGCTGTCATTCCCTTCCCTCCCCATCTAGCTAAGCCTGGAAAAAGATGCCTTGTTCTGCCCAGGGTCCCCAACATGAGCACTACAGTCAGGATACAGTGAGACCACGCACCGTTTAGTATGCTTTCCTAATGTCACATTTAAAAAACGTGGTCATACTTAAACAGTATTTTATGACATCCTTAGAACTGCTAGTGCAATCAGAGTACAGTAACACTCCTGAGGTAAGCAAACAAAACCATCAGCAAACAAACACTAAGTCCTCATTTCTCATCTGAAAAATCAGGGCAATTAAACCCTTCCAAGAGGATTATTGTGAAGATTAATGGGCACGGGGCACATAAAAGCTCCTGCACAAGGGCCTGGGATTTAGCTCAGTGGTTCTGCTGCTTGCCTCACAAGCACAAGGACCCGACTTCGATCCCTGGTACAAAAATAAATGAATAAATAAATAAATATATAAAATAACAATTAGAATGTATAAAGGTACAGATGAGGCTTAGCTATCCATCTAATGTTGCCAGGGATTTAGCTTAGTGGTTTCGCCGCCTGCTGCACAAGCGCAAGGACCAGAGTTTGATCCTCGGTACCAAAAAAAAAAAAAAAAAGCTCCTGCACAAGAATAAGCACTAAATAAACAGTATCTGTTATTAAAACACCCTGAGATGAACAGCATGCAGGGGTAATAATATATCTCCTGTATGAATGCATTTTTGAATAGCAAAATTGTCTACTGAGTTTCATTTTAAAATTACACTGTATTACCTTCATGTTTTAATTTTCATTTGTCGGAAACTTCATTATGTGAAAATATTAAAATCTTTTTATGTTTTCACTTTTAATGTCTGAACTTTTATGATTTAAATTGAATTTTACTTTTATTTTCCATGACAAAAAATTATCAAAAACCAAACCAAATCAAAACATTGACAAGCATTCTGTAAAAATCTATATTTACCTGGCCATTTCCAAGAAGAGATGTATCTTTCCCCATCAGAAAATAGGATCCAAAAAAGAAAATAAAGGCATGACTGAAACCCAGGATAGTCCAATAAAGAAACGTTTTAATGCTTAAGAGATGGTTTTTACTAATATCCCTGTAAATTAAAAATAAAAAAGATAAAAAGGAACACATTAGGAATCATTTTTTACCTATTAAACAATTATGATACTTTTATTTAAAAAACAAGGTGGTTTGAACTTAAGATGTCCTGAAAATATTAGCAGAAAGAATAAACTCACATTTACATGGTTCTACTTCTAATAAAACAGACCTATGTAACAACTGTAGCTAACTCCAATACACTTTATTTGATAAATATAGGCACAATACTTCAGTTCAACAGTGAAAAGCTGACTTCTCAGTATTACAATCTGTTGACATTCAGCCATTCTGCCATGATAGTCTCTTTTTAGAGAGCTTATCCCAGTTGGGTTCAGCAGTGACTCCTAAGTAACTTCATTTTCAACAGTAGCCACTGTGGAGGAACAATCTGCACTAATCTTGGGTCAAGTCCTGTCCTAGGTAACCTAGGAAATCTGAGTAATACTCTGGATAACTGGCTGCTTCTGTAAGTGTGACCTCTGTATCTTTCCAGAGGACCCTAAGCTCGACCTGACATGTTCACATCTCTGTGTTACCTGGTTCTGGGGAAGCAGAAGGAAGCTGGGGACCTGGGATTAATATCCTCAAATTGCTTTGCACTGAGTGTTAATGACACATATGTTTGGCAATACTAGGACATGAGCTCATTTTTTAGAAACTACGGCCTGCTAAATTGTGAATAACTTCTTTTGCACACATGAAGTAGACTAAGACTGGTTTGCAACAGTAAGTGTAAACCATACAATTGCAAGCCCAAGGTCCCAAGTTTGATCCCCGGTACCAAAAAAAAAAACACCATACAATTGCCCAGTACATTTCTTGGATCAAAGTGTTCCTTCCTAAACCAGCAGAAGCTGAGCATGATGGTGCATGCTTATAATCCCAGCACCTAGGAGGCAAGAGGACTGCTGCCAATTTAGAGGGCATCTGGAGCTAATGAGTTCAAAGCCAGCCTGAACTATATAGTAAGATCCTGTCTTAAAAAACAAATAAAACTGGAAAAGTTATTCAGAATTACTTTTTGATATTAAAAATCTTTAAGCCATACAACCACCTTACTTTCCTTAGTATTAGTCACCAAGACACTACTACTCATTCACTCATTTCTCAGATCCTTGTTAAATTTGGTAATGACTGAATATACTTACAATCAGAAATACAAGGTGTGATTAAAAAATAGTGAATGTTTAAATTTAAAAGACACATTGCCATTGATTTTCTTCAAAACACTTACCCTTGCTTTGAACACACTTATCCCATTGTTCCTGTCACTTTCTAAAGCAGTTCTAAAAGTCTTCTTTCCTGAGGGTCTTTATTGTGCTGGCTTGGCTACTTGATGTCCTGAACTGATTCAAAACTTTGACCTTTCATGGTCATTTTGACTTTGGGGAAGAGCCAGAAGTCACACAGAGCCAGATCCGGTAAATAAGGTGGATGAGGATGCACTGTCATGTTTTTAGGAGCCTCTTTCCATTGGATGGCACTCAGCTGAAGCACTCACCAAAAGAAGACTTCTAGATATGCTTCAGAAAGATGGAATAAGTATGAGTCCAGCCTGGACTAAATACAAAGTTCAAGGCCAGCCTGAACTATGTAGTGAGAACCACTTCAAAAAAAAAATGTGTGTTCAAAGCTAGGGGGAGTACTTTTGAGGGAGATTAATGGCAATGTGTCTTTCATTGTAATAAAAAAAAAACCCCAACATAAAAATATTCATTGTGTTTTTCAATCAACCCGGTATAGGGACATTTAATACTGAAAAAGACTTACCTGTAGAGAGTAGGCTTGTTCTGTAATACATGAGGGTCTATATGCTGTTCCAAAAGACTATATATCAGAACAGGTAGGGAAGTAAAACAAATATTGTACAAAGTCAGGTACATGCTGTCATACAGTGTCTACAAAGAGAAATTGGTAGGAATTTTAGGATCTGAAATTATGTCTGTTATACTTATGCATATAATTAAAAAGCATTTTAAAAATGAGCATAAAATTATAGCTTTTTTCAGTTTACACTAAAATCTATTTAAACAACTCCAACTTGTTTTTAATTTTTTTTTGGTACTGGGGATCAAACTCAGGGCCTTACGCTTTCGAGGCATGTGCTGGCACCACTGAGCTAAATCACTGGCCCCCAACTTGTTTTTTAGATAAATGTACAATAGTCCTAGACTTAAATTCTTTGGGGAAATTGGAATATTTTGTAGTATCAAGTATTTCTTCAATTACAGTGAATTTGATCTATATTTCGAGATTCTCCACAATTTGGCCACTGTGATGTAGCGTTACACAATTCTCCTGCATGGATCCTAGGCTTCTTACTATTCCTTTGACATGCTACACACACAGGTTTTTTGTTTGTTTGAAGACAGGGCCTCACTATGCAGTTCGGGCTGGCCTCAAACTTGTACGTGGAGATGATCCTGCCTCAGCCTCTCAAGTGCTAGGATCACAGGTGTGCGGCACCATGTCTGGCATGCTACATATACAGTTTTGCTTTCCTGGCTTGGTCTTCTCATCTAGATCCTATACTCTGCAAGGAACTGAAAAAGACTCTTCCTTCATGAAATTTCACAATGGCCTAAGCCCTTGATGATAGTGTCCTCCTCTAAAAAGTGCTACTGTTGGTATTAACCAGCCAGTATTCTGCCTCTGCTTCACGTATTATTTTTATTATTATCAATATTATATCCCAAATTATACCATAAACTCCCTGAAAACCTAATCAAAGTTCATGGTTTTACAGCATTCTTTATTTTACTCAGGTGAAGAAACAGTTACAGGCAATCACTGCCTGTCTATGCAGATACTTGGCATGTCACAAAGCGAGGAGAAAATAGTGCTTAAGGGCAGGAACAACTCCTGAAAAACCTAATTAAGCTCTTGTGTTTTCAGTAAGTTAGATCTAAGGGGTGGGGATTTAGCTCAGTGGCACCGAGCCTGCCTTGCAAGCCAAGGCCCTGAGTTTGATCCCTGGGACTGAGAGGAAAAAAAAAAAAAATCCATTCTCCTGCTCAACTTGAGGTATACAGTGTGGTGTGTGAAAAGGGTGCTCACTTAGAAGCAGGAGGTCCAAGTCATGGTTTAGTCATTAGCTTAACTACGTGATTCTGGACAAGCTACTTCATTTCTGTAGATTTAACTTTCTTTTTCTATCAAATAAAATAAGAGATCAGGAATGGTGATGTGTGACGTGTGTACAGCCAGAGACCCACCCTGTGCCCATTACAGTGACTGCCAATAAATTATAGATTTCCCCTCTGAAACTAAAGCTTCAGAAATCTTTTCAACACAGCATTCCAGGTTTTCCTATCCATTATTTAAGGGTAGCTTCTGGGGTAAAATCTGAGATAATCCCTGGACTAAATCACTAAGTCTCCTGAAGTAAACCTCCAGTCTAGTAGTTACTTGGTCAGCCTGATAAGGATTCTACAGGGTATTACAAATAAGTTGGGAAAGTTATCAACGTTCTCCCATATACTGCTGAGTTTTTAATATCAACTTTTAAAAAAGCATCCAGAATTAAAATACATGTTCGTATCTACATTCATCTCAAATTGAAAACTGGAATAAATATTATGACGTTATGCTGATTAAGTGTACTACTTGGAGAAGTTTTATTGACTTATCTGTAGGACTAAGAAAAATGAAAACAGTCCTTCTAAATGTCTATCAAAACCTGTATCTTATTAATATGTATCTTATTCTAAAAGGACAAAACACAAGCTTTTGTTTACTTACTTGCTGAGAAAACAAACAGTAGAACTGATATAAAAACTGGGGTGTGATAAAGCACACATTCTGTAAAACAAGATTAAGTGGGAAATAATTAAAACGTGAGTTCTAAAAGAAAAACTTTCTAAAAATAGTTATTAAATATCTGGAAACAAAGTTGGTATGGTAAGTAACGGATCTTTCCATAAGGACTTGCCCAAAGAGAAAGGAGTCTCATTTTATTAAAAATGTCTAAAAGCACTGTAAGGACCAGTGCCGGTGTCAGAGTAAAAATACCCTTACCTCCATCACTGCCAAGCAGTACCACAATTTTGAAAATTCAAGTTTCCAACTTACTCAAGACTTAAAAAAAAAAAAAAAAAGACTTCATATATATAGTATTAAAAGTAAGATTAAACTTTAGGTCTATGATACCTTTAAAACACAAATTATCAGAATATCTTTTTTTGGTTTTGTGATTTTTTTTTTTTTTTTGGTACCAGGGATGGAACTCAGGTCCTTGCGCTTGAGCAGCAGGCAGTGAAACCACTGAGCTAAATCCCTCCCCCTGGTTTTGTGATTTTGAGGCAGAATCTTGCTATGTAGTTCAGGCTGGCCCTGAACTTACCATGTTGCCCAGGGTGGGCTCAAACTCACAGCAGTCCTCCTGCCTCAGCCTCCAGAGTGCTGGGATTACAGGCGTGTGCCAGTACACTGGGCTTCAAAACATTTTTCTACCTCAGTATAGTTAATAGTACAAGGAAAAAGCTAGACCAAAAGTTGGAAGAAAACGGCCATATCATTCAATAGTTATATGCAATTTACTTATGTTCTTCCACTGGTTTATAACCACAATGATAGGAACATATGTAATAGAGGACACTCTTGTATATTAAATGTCTTGGCAACAGGGGCTCCTAACGGGTTCCACAGACCTTTTCCAAAGGGTCCACAGATACAACAGCATTTTAGCACCATTAGCTTCCCTGTAATCCTAAGTATTTTATTTTATGCACATAAAGACCCTATACTGAGAAGCTCACACCTTTTCAATGTAGTCTACTAACGGGTCATCTGTGGTGCAAAAAAAGATTAATAACTTCTGCTTGAAACCATAACAATGGAGTCAAATTAAAACATTACTGGCTCAAAACAAAGTCACATTTATTGTGGTCAAATTTGCACAGAATAAAACACTAAATTTAAGTAGAAAATTTGATGTGTTTGACAAATTTATACACCACCATCATCGCTGTGAAATAGAGAACTTTTCCATCAGCCCTGAAAGTTTGCTTATATCCTTTCTCAGTCAATTCTACCACCTGTACCCTTGGCCCCTGGCCCCTGATTCTGTTCTGACAGTATCAACTAGATTTATTACAAAAGCACTGTTAGTTTTTTTAATTACAGGAACAATTTTTAAGAATAATTGTATGGCTATAGCATTCCTTAAGTTGAAACTTCAAATTACTGTTATCAGTGATTAACTAAAAAACCATATGAAACTTACCTTATAAAAAAAATACTGTACAAGGGTAGCTATTCTGATATAATAAAAATGACCATGAACAAAAAGTAGTTTGGAGAGGAATTTAAATCTAGCTATTGCATAGTCACTGTTTCTTGCAGCCTGTCTTCCTTCTTTACCCATGATTCCTGTAATAAAGGAGAGAAAAAGGTATGTTTACTGATAATAAATAAGTGTAATTTTCATGATATCTCTGTAAATACCTTATCGATAGCAGTTGAACCTGGGCTTAGGAACTATATACTATTCCAATGATGGTGAACCTTTTAGAGCTTTCAGCAATAAACAGGCTACTGTGGTACACATGCCACAGGTTTGCTATCACTGTCATATTATATAGCAGCTAGCAGCTGTCTAAAAGGTTGTTCTATTTAAACATGTAATTAATATAAAGCTACACTATATACCTGACGTGCAACACCTACAGAGTTCACCAAAAAAATGTATACACACTTAAGGAAAAAAAAAAAAGTATGTTTTTTCAACAGATGTGTTAATGTGTTACCCTTGTATAAGGGACCCTACAGGATGTTGTGTATTGCAAAAAACCCACTACACTGCCAGCCATTAGAGAAGAAAATGAAAATGCATGTGCAACAATCTCAATGACCAAGGTTATCCAAACAGCAGTTTGTCGTACTAATAAATGTTTGGAAGCTTCAGTGGCCACCACTTTAAGCACCTCTTGTACTCGTAGAGGACAAAGGTAACATGTATTAGTCTCATGATGTCTCAATAAATTTAGTATTAAAATGTTTATACAAGTTTTTCTTTTCCTGGAGTGAGTGTACATTTTTTGGGGGAATCTGTATTTTCACAGAAAGAGAATATAACAAAATAAAAATACAATTAATATAAAGTATCAGGTAATAAAATTCTGATAGAATTCTATAACAGCTTTAACTTCACTAGTTCCAATAAATGTAAAATATATTCAAACTGAATAAAAACATGCAAATTTACCTAAAAACTGTTAGGTAGCTAGGGATTTAGCTCAGTGACTCTGTGCCTGCCTCACAAGTGCAAGGTCCTGAGTTCGATCCCTGGTGCCAAAAACAAACAAAAAACAAACAAAAAAACAAAAACCCAAAACCAAAAACAAACTCATGCAAAAAAATCCTATCATGCATAAGCTAAAGGGTGGTTTTTAAAAAAAATACGTAATTTTGGAATGTCATCATATTGTGTACTAAAATTTACCAATAAACTTAAAAAAAAAAGCAAAACAAAATAAAACCCCAGGTAATTTTTAAAAATGTAATTTTAAAATAAATTTTAAAAAAGAAAAATATATAAACAAATCAGTGAATCATTTTAGCTAGAAAATAGTTTTTTTGTTGGTTTGTTTTTTGTGGTACTGGGGATTGAACTTCCGCCTGTGAGGAAGGTGGCGGAACCACTGAGCTAACTCCTTGACTGAGCTAGTTTTTAAGGTTACAATTATCCTTTAGATTTCAAAAGGGCAAAAGCATAATTGCCAAGTTTGAAAGTAACTTTTAAGGAAGTTAAAAAAGGGTTTTTTGAAAATAATTTTTCAAAATTAAACTTTTTGGATTTTTGTCATGAAAGGATTAAAATATTCTAAAATATACAGGCATAAAATTTATGCATTTTCATTCATAACACCTAGAGAAAACCACTGTTTTTAGTCTACATTGTCTTAGAATCTTTCTGAGAGTATTTTGCGTATGTACATGTGTATTTGATATATATGAAATGTATATGAAGTGAGATTTGTTTGTAACCTGTATTTGTTAATTACTGGACACTGTTTATAATATGTATCTTTATCAATACGTTCAGTTATTTTCTTAGAAGAAAACACATAATTGGGCATATAACTCCAAGGTCATTAGGCACACAGTTAAAATTTGTTATGCATAACAATGCAAGGTATACCAATTTACTCTCCTACTAACATGGTATAAGATTGTTAATCTATATCTTTGTCAACTCCAGGTTATCAAACTTTGTAATTGTTGCCAGTCTGACAGATAATTTTAACTTGTGTTCTTTTGATTGGTAAGGTAGAGAGCTTTATTTTCCTCCTCCATATGAGGACAGAACTCAGGACCTTGCACTTGCCAGGCAGGAGTGGTGCCACTGAGCTACATTCTCGGCCCTTTTTTGATTGCTAAGAGACTGAACATTTTTTCCATAAACTTAGTATTCATTTTGGAGTTCTCATTTTTTTTTTTGGTACCAGGGATCAAACTCAGGACCTTGTGCTTGAGAGACAGGCACAGTGCCACTGAGCTAAATCCCTGGCCCTGGAGTTCTCATTTTGTGACAGACAAAGGTTTATACCATTTTGCCTATTTCTACTGGAGTGTTAACTTGTCAAGACTTCAAAAATCAGTAATATTAAGACTTTACCATCTGTTTTTGAAATATTCTTTACTATTTCATCTTCAAAATTTATTTTAGGGGAGTTTTTACCTCCACCACATATACTGATCTGTTCTTCCTTCCTTTGGTATTATGTTTAAAAGCTCTTTCCACAACTAAAATAACAGGATTATCATTCAATCTTCTTAAATTACCTTTTATAGTCTTTTAAAATTATTCACATCTTTAATCCATCTAAAATTTATTTTGCTGTAAGTAATGGAAAGGGGTCCAACTTTTTTTCCAAATAAGTAGTTTTAGGAATTTTTTTACTGAGTAATGTGTTTTCTTATTTGAAATTCTATAAATGTATTATTTTATGAGATAATCTACGGTACAGGAAGTTATCAAATTGTTATGGTGATTTATGGGAAAAAAAACAGTAGATAAACTAGAAAGAAAACTAAATTTTAAAATTCAGGAAAAAATCAATCACCTATGCCAACATGTGCTTCTTGTATCATGCTTACATCATTAGCACCATCACCAACAGCCAATGTTATAGGTTTCTCAGGTGAGATTTTTATCAGTCTTATTACCTGAAAGACATACAATGAAACAGTTCTTTATGATAAAAATTCAATTTTCTTAAATTTGTATAATGTCATTTATCTGAAATGACTACAGAAGGAACAGTAGTGAAAAAAATACTTAATCTTATATATTAGACAATAATATGCAGTGGGTTCATTTTTTTGAGGGATGTCTTATTAAGATTTTAGGAATGTTTTCAGAAATATAACAAAACAATTATTATGTTTGAATTTTATACGAAAAAAATTTAAATACATCTTAATTTAAAAAAAATCATGGAGAAAAACTGCACATAATTGAATTCTTTCAGGTAAAACTTTCTTTTCTCAAGAAATTGTACTTTAATAAACGCAATCTGAAGTTTTAAAAAAGCAATCAATATTAAATCAAAACAGATTTCTGGAGAATTTTTGAATGTACTTTTGTTAAGTACCTAGGCATTAGTTTTGTTTGACCTCCAGTTTTAGTCTCCATAGACTAGGATACAATAATTATAATAAAGGCACTGTAACAAAATTCCATGAAACCAAAAAACTGGATGCTGAATTATTAGATGTGAAATAATCAGTAGTATTAGATGTTCATTGCACAGGATATTTGTAAAGGACACATTCTAAAACCTCAAATTCCAAATGTGAAATTACAAAATAAAAATGTGCATATCTTTTCACTTAGGAAGCTGAAATTTAAGTATTTCTTATATACAATTTTACAAGTTAAACTGGCTTTCAACTTTCTACTAAAGTCCTAATTTATCACTTGATAATCACTTTTTTTTTTTTTTTTGGTACTGGGGATCGAACTTGGGTCCTTGCGCTTGGCGCAGCAGGCAGCGAAACCATTGAGCTAAATCCCCTGCCCAATAACCACTTTTAACAAAGAATTACAATTCAAGAGAACGTAAGAATAAGCAGCGATCAACAGAAGCACCTCAGGGTGCAGATGAAGTTGAGTCTCCTAGAGTCCTTCGCTTGTTAAGTAACTAATTTGGGTAATGTTAAGTTACTACAGTTCAGATTTGTGTTTCAGCAAGGCCACAACTGCTAGACAATACAGATTTTCTAGGTCATTATGAATACCTGAAACTTGAATATTTATTTACTCTGAGGATTCTTGAAGTCTAATGTACATGGCTAAAATTCATAGTACAGGAAGGGACTGACTCCTAGAGTAAGCGTCATACACTGCATACCACCAAATACAACTATGTAAAGGCACTCATCTTAGAGAGTACTTTTAGATCTAAATACCTTTATGGAACGTTTTATAATATATACATACTTTTGCTTTCTGCAGTGGTGCCATACGACAGCATAATACAGCCGAACAATTTCTGCAAACTTCCATAAATAGCTTTTCATGCTCCCTGAGTGCAAGAGATAGGCTGGTCCCATCAACTACTAGCCCATGCTGAATCACATGATCCTCTGTAATTCTAAAAGAAAATAATTATATTAACTGTAAGACACTTTGAAGTCATATTATTTATTTATTTTAAATTATTTTTTTTTTGGTACTGGAGATGGAACTCGGGACCTTTTGCCTGAGAGGCAGGTGGCAGAACCACTGAGCTAAATCCCCAGCCCCACAGTTTTGTTTTTGTTTTTTTGTTACTGGGGATTGAACTTGGGACTTTGGGACTGGGAGGAAGGCAGTGGAACCACTGAGCTAAATCTCCAGCTAATTTTTAGTATTTTTAAAGTAGACATTATTATTTTTTTTTTTGGTACCAAGGATAGAACTCGGGTCCTTGTGCTTGCGCAGCAGGCGGCAAAACCACTGAGCTAAATCCCTGGCCCCAGCAGACATTATTTTTATAATCAAGAAAAAACTGTTTCAGAAAGCATAAAGTAAATGACTTTAAGTAATTAATTCTATGTTTTAGGGACTTTCTCTTGACATATGGTACTTAAATATTTAAGCAGCCAGGATAGTATTGACATTGCTTCTAAACTGCAGCATAATTATCTAGGTCAAGTGCCTTTTTTACATTCAAGCAAAGACCTTTCTGGCAGCAATACAGAGTTTTGAAAATATCTCTTTAAAAAGTGTTTCTTTGATGAAATCTAGACTTCAGTACCATATTAACACCTATGTAACAAATATAAATAAAGCACTGAGTATACATTAATAATTACAGCCAGGGATTTAGCTCAGCGGTTCCACCGCCTGCCTCGAAAGCACAAGGTCTGGAGTTCGATCCCCGGTACCAAAAAAAAAAAAAAAAAATTACGACCTTTTTGGGTTTGTTTTTCTGGATTAGCATCACAAGACTGCAAATGACTTCTACTTGTAGGAGATCTAATATGCATACACACACCCAACCCTGATGTTCACACTAAAGCACTCCTTAGTTTATTTTCAAAATTTAGACTGTGTTACAGGTACAAAATAAATCTGATCTCCCTGTAAACAGATTTACAAAAAAAGAAAGTATAAATTTTTTTTTTTGGTACCAGGGATCGAACTTGGGACCTTGCACTTGCGAGGCAGGCGGTGGAATCACTGAGCTAAATCCCTGGCCCTGAAATATAATTTTGAGCAGTAAAATGCAGATTAATTTCCCAGTTTGGTTGTCTGACTAGGGCTCAACAAATGTTTTCTGTAAGGGTCCAGATAGCAAATATTTCAGATTTGGGCTTTGTGGGCCAAGAGGCAAAATTGAAGATGTTATATAGGTACTTGTACAATGAGAAAAGAAATTCCAATAAAAAATTTATTGACTAAATTGAAAATAAAGCAATAATGGAGTACTTTTTTTTTTTTTTTTTGCGGTACTGGGGATCGAACTCAGGACCTGGTGAGGCAGGTACAGTGCCACTGAGCTAAATCCCCTGCCCGAGGAGTACATTTTAAAAAATAATAGAGGTCGGGCCGGGGATTTAGCTCAGTGGTTCCTCCCCCTGCCTTGTAAGCCCAAGGTCCCGAGTTCGATCCCTGGTACCAAAAAAAAAAAGGGGTCTACTTAGGATAAGGATGAATCTTTTAGGGGGAGAATATTTTCTTTAATTGGGGTTCAAAGTTAATGTTTCCTACCATCAAAATCATTTCAGGGGTGGGATCACAGCTCAGTGGTAGAGCACCTGCCTAGTATGTGCAAAGCCCTGGTTTCAATCCCAGTACCACAAAGAAAAAAAATTAATCGCAAACATTCATCTGTTAATGATTACTACTGAACTGCAATGAATCTTACACTGTACTAACTGAATAATAAAGTAACTTCCCTTCCACTGTGCCTTAAAATTGTGATACTAAAATTTATTTTTCTTCTCTTGTTTTCTCATGACAGCTGTATAGTGACAATAAAAAACTGTAAAATGTCACAATATGGTGCCATGTGTGGCAATCAAAACACTACTGAGTTACAGTTGTGTCTGTGTGTGATGAGCAGGGCACCTGGCAGCAGTGTGCAATGACGAAGGAGATCTCTGTTGCAAATACTCAATTCTACGGTAAAGCAGTCACTGACAGTAGGTAACTGAATTTATGTGGTTGCTCTAATTCAACTTACTGAAATCTGAATTTCATGTAGTTTTCACATCATGAAATATTGTTTGGATTAGTTTTCATCCATCAAAAATGTAGAAACTACTTTTAGCTTGTGCACTATAAACAAGAGGCAGTGGCAGTGGGTCATTTCTGACCCACAGGCTACTGTTTGCTGACCCCATAACTGCATGACCCAGATAATGATCTTCTTACCTTCTGGCAAGCTGCCTCAACTGTTCAGCACATTCGTTGTCTGATTTCTGGTTAATAAGTTCAAGGATGTTCATAGTTCTATGAAAATGTCCACAAGATAAACTCACACTAACAGCAGTTTCATGTTTGTCTCCTGTAAGTACCCACACTTTGATACCAGCCATTCTCAATGCTTCAATAGTTTCTTGAACTTTATCTTGCAGTCTAAAAATCAAAGAAACAAAATCGGTTGAAAAACAGTTTTCTGACTGCATGCTAAGTTATAAACCATATAGCATATGTGTAGTCAAGTCAGGACTTAATGTAGGAATGTTATTGTATAACAATATAACTGAAATTTTCTCCCATTCAGAAGAAACAATGGACGGACTAGTATTCATCTAAACCAGTTAAAATCTACAACTTCACATTTTAAGAGTGTATCTACAAAGTTGATTTTCACGAGACTAAACTATGTAGTTTTCATTAAACTCCTATTTTATTTGAAAGTCTTAATATATTTTGGCAGTGCTGGGGATTGAACCAAGAGCTACATACATGCTATGCAATCGCTCTGCCACTGAGTGACATCCCCACCCTCAGGAATTCTTAAATTTCAAGTCAAGGGAGATTTCTCTCTCCCTCTTGATAAGAAAGTCTTTCAAATCACTATTTGTTTTCTGGAGAAAGGGTCTCACTTTATAGTTCAGGCTGGCCTTGAACTCACTATATAGTCCAGGCTGGCCTTGCATGGCAATCCTCCTGCCTCAGCCTCCTGAGTGCTGGGGATTACAGGTGTGTGCCACCATGTTTGGCTTTAAATCACTCTTACAGTTAAAAAATTAGACCATGGAAAACATAATACTAGAACTACAAACATATAATAATAGAACTATAATAATAGAACCTACAAACATAAAGACTAGGGCTGAGGATTTAGCTCAGCGGCAGAGCGCCTGCCTGGCAAGCTCGAGGTCCTGAGTTTGATTCCCAGTACCAAAAAAAGCCCTCAAAAAACAGACACTTGAAGAAGAAAAATATGTGTCTGGAAAGGTCTTTCAGGAGTGGAGTATCTGAGCTATATTTGACTTATTTTTGGTACAGGAGATCGAACTCAGGACCCTGTACTGGATAGAGAAGGAAAGGATCATCTAGGCAGAAGGCAGAGCCTCACCGAGGAACAAATACACAAAACAGAATAGTGTTCACTATTGCTGCTGTGCAGTGTGGTATTACTGAAGCATAAAGTAAAAGGAAGCAGTGGTGGGAGGTGAGGCTGGAGAACTAAGCAGGTCTTAATGTCTCTCTATGGCACACTGGGAGAACTAGACTTCATTGTTTTTCTTTCACCTACTTCAGATACCTGGCTAGAACAAAACAGTATATACTGACTGGGAAAATCAAGGCTTTAATTATCTTTATTTTAAATATACTAAATTATTATGGGATGTTAACAACCAGAATTTGTTTACTATATCAGAACATTTGGCTAAATACACAAGAAAAATCATCCTGATTATTTATCTGACACTTGTGTTTGCTTCAGCAGCACATACACTAAAATTGGAATGATATTTATCTGACACTTACCTGTCTTCTACGGCTGTAGCCCCAAGTAAAATCAGGTCTTTCTCTATGAACTGAAAGACTTCAGCCAATTTCTCTTCCCGTTGCTGCAAGGCAGTCCTGGCTTCAAACAGGCGTCTGTCTATCTCTTCATACTCATTAGGTGTAAACTGTCTATAGGCTATACACAGAGTTCTTAGCCCTTTCTAAAACAAGTAAACAAAGACAAAGTTGAACACAACTAACGAAAACCAAAAAGTTACTGAAATAAATTGACCCTAGGTTCCAATTCTCAGCCCTTCAAAAGTGAAACAAAAATGAACTCCCCTGAACTGAGAACTCATTACCAAAAAATTCAATGATAAACAATTTAAAAAGTACTATACCTTAGTGATAGGAAAGAAATGAAGTGTTTCAGAGCCCTAGAGATCTGAGTTATGGATTACATGTTATCAAGAGCTCTTTCAGTTTCTCATCAGTTTTTAAAAAGTTGCTTAAAATGATTAAGGTTATTGAATTATACAGTATGAGAGTCTAGAAAGGACCAAAAAAGGTACCTCATTTGTGATTTAAAAACTGTTACATGGAAAGTTAGAAAGATCTATATTGTACCTTCAAGACTATTTAGAGAGAAACAGCACCAGGTTCTATTCACTTGCTTTACTGTACAAACCCATTTTAACTAATTTGTAAGATTTATTTTTCTAAGTAAAGGAGATCATAATTTCCTATGGGTTCACTGAAAGACAAAATCTGCCTTTCAAATAAAGAACTCTGAAAAATACTATTGAACATACTATATTTTCTAGATCTATCAAACTTTTTTGGGGGGGATAATACTTGGGGTAGAACCCAGAGGCACTCTACCACTGAGCTATATCCCTATCCATTTTTACATTTTATTTTGCAACAAGGTCTCACTAAAGTGGCCCAGGCTGGCCTCAAACTTGCCATTCTCCTGCCTCAGCCTTCTAAATAGCTTGAATTACAGGCATGCACCGAGGGGCTTGCCCAAATGAATGATTATGTCTTTGCCAGTGAATTGGAATTCACTCAAAATTTACTAATATATTTTGGATTATATGATTCCAGTGGGCTCAAATTTTTCTTAATCTCTGAGAGTTGGTATCAAAATCCAAAGGCTTAGATAATTCCTTTTTCTTGCTATTTTCCCCAGAAAAACCCATAATAATGTTCTAATACAAACACTAAGAAGGGAAGATTTAAAAACACTAACGTCAATATTTGGCAGATTTTCAAGTACAGTGCAGCATTTTCATCACCTCCAAAAAGAATCCTGTACCATTAGCACACTTGCCTCTCACCTCTCTTCTCTTTTTCCAGTCCCTGGCAATTGCTGATCTATCCATTCGCTTTCTAGGAATGTGCCTTTTCTGGATATTTCATGTAGCCTTTTGTTGACTGGCTACTTTCAGCAGTTTTTTCAAGGTTTATTGTTATAGTGGAATATATCAGTACTTAATTCCTTTTAATGGCAAATAACATTCTATAATATAGACATACCACAGTTATATCTATCCATTCATCAATTGGGTGTCTGGGTTTTTCCATTTTTGGTGGCTAAGAATAATGCTGCTAATGATTACTGATACACAGATTTGGTGTGGACTAACGTTTTCAATTTTCTTGGGTGTGTACCCAGGAATGGAGATGCTGAAATTATCTTTTTTATTTTGGTACCGGAGATCAAACTCAGGACCTTGCACTTGCAAGGCAGGCAGGGGAACCACTGAGCTAAATCCCCGGCCCTGAAATTATGTTTTTTTTTTTTGGACTGGGGATAGAACTCAGGACCTTGCTCTTGCAAGGCAGGCACCGGAACCACTGAGCTAAATCCCCGGCCCCTGAAATTATCTTTTGAGGAACTGCTAAACTGTTTTCCAAAGTGGCTAGATCACTTATAATTCCTCTAAATTCATCACATTCTCAAATTTTCCTACATTCTTTTTTTGTTTGTTTGTTTTTTTGAGGCAAGGTCTCCCTTTGAAGTTCAGGCTGGCCCTGAACTATGTATATGTAGCCCAGGCTGGCTTCGAACTCTCAGTGATCCTCCTGCCTCAGCCTCCCAAGTGCTGGAATTACAGGAGTGTGCCACTACGCCTGGCATCCTATATTCTTTTAGTAAGCCCTCTTCTTTTTTCTTTGGTACTAGGGACAGAACGCAGGACCTTGCGCTTGAGAGGTAGGCACAGTGCCATTGAGCTAAATCCCTGGCCCTAGTGAGCCCTCTTCTATGGAGACCAGCCTTGTACATGTTAAGCAGGCTTTGCATCACTGAGCCATAGCACCTGGCCATTTTTTTTTCTTTTTAAAGACAGTCTTAGCAGGGTACTGTGGTACAAACCTACAGTCCAGCCACAAAAGGCTGAGGTGGGAGAATTCATGGAACTTAAACTCATGGAACTCATGAATTTAAGACCAGCCTGGGCTCAAGAGATTCTCAGCCTCAGCCTGCTCAGTGGCTGGGGCCTTGGTGCATGGTGTTCCACATGGCTAAATCCTCTTTTATTTTTTTGCAGTGGTAAGGATCAAACCCAGGCCATTGAACTGGCTAGGCAAGTGCTCTATCACTGACCTACATCCCAAGCCCCAAACCTTCTTTTGAAATTGTAGTTTGAAGGCAGGTATGAGGGTGTACAATTGTCATCACAACATTCTGAGAGGGTGAAGCAGGAGGATCCAAAGTTCCAGCTCAGCTCAGGCAACTTAGTGACTTAGTGAGCTCTTGTCTCAAAATAAAAAATGAGGGTCAGGGATTTAGCTCAGTGGTTCTGGCACCTGCCTCAAAAGCACAAGGTCCCGAGTTTGATCCCCGGTACCAAAAAAGAAAAAAGAAAAAAAAAAAAAGATCCAGGAATCAAAATAAAAAATGAAAAAGGGTGGGGGCACTGGGAAGGTGGTTCAGTGCAAAGGCCCTGGGTTCAATTCCCAGCACCAAAACAAACAAACAAACAAACATGATGGTCCTTGCAACTGGTTTGTTGATGAGAAAACTTGTATTTTAGCAGAATAAAAAAGTTTTTATATAAAGAATGGAGTGGACAAATAGTGCAACAAAACTGCAAAGTTCCACAATTTTTGACAATTAAAAAAAAAGGAGCCTTAAAATTTTCCTAAGTATGTCTTTTAGAGCTTTTTCTTTCTTTTTTTTCTTCTTGTAGTACTGGGGAATTGAACTGAGGGCCTTCATACTGAGGTACATTTCCCAGTCCTTTATTTTTTTATTTTGAGACAGGGTCTTGCTAAATTTGCAAGTTGTCCAGGATGGGCTTAAACTTGCAGCCCTCCTGTCTCTGCCTCCCTGAGTGCTAGGATTACAGACATGTGCCAACATGTCTGGCTTACAGGTTTTAAATCATAGAAATTTATACTCACCAAAGCAAATTCATCTACATGAATTCTCGTTTTCTCTATGTCTCCACCTATACAGTTAGGAAGTATTGATGATTCTGCTCCTTTAGCAAATAAAAGCTTCTCACCTAAAAGGAAAAAATAAGTTATCAAGCTCTTATTAGGTAAATAAAAATTCATGAAAGTTAAAATTGGTTACCTGAACATGCTTGAACAATTACACTCATTCTCCTACGATCTGAATCAAATTCCAGAACATGAAGCAGTCTGTACCTAAAGAAAGTAAGAAACACAGAAACCTTACTCTTTAAAATAATAAGTGGGCTGGGGATTTAGTTCAGTGGTTTCGTCCACTGCTGTGCAAGCGCAAGGACCTGAGTTCAATCCCAGTACCAAAAAAAAAAAAAAAAGTGACTATTTGGAAAGAATCACTATAAAAATACCAATTTAAAATAAGAAATCAATTTAATTACATCTTCATGGTATAGGTTAAGAGTTTTCAATAACAATACTGGACAGAAAGATGGAACTGACATTGAGTCTGCACCAAATGCCGTGTACTTCACATACCTTATGTCATTTAATAAACAGTAAGTAATTTGCCTGAAGTTAAATAAGCTTGTGAGTAGCTAAGCAAGAACTGGAATCCAGATCTGTTCTACTCCATATTTTTGTCACTAAAAAAAGGTGACTGATTCTCTACCCTCTTTTCTGCCCTAATATCCCTCACAACAAACATAACACACACCACACCGAGGCTCATCACAGCAGGGATTTTGAACCTGGGTGTGTTACAGCCATACCACCCTGAATGCACCTGATCCCGTCTGAACCTGGGTGTGTGTGTGTGTGTCTGGGGGGTTGTGTTGTGGATCAGGAAACGAATGCCTGTCTAGAGAACTGAAAAAAGAGTTGTGTGGATGGGTGAAGGGTGGCTTGGAAATCTCCCAGATGAATCTTGTACAATGATATACATATGGAATACTTTACAAATCTTGAAGAGAAACAGGGAGTTAAACGATAGTTTAAACACTGATGAAACGTGCTAGACAAGCGTCCACATGAAAGCAGCCAAAGGGCTTGGGATACATCTCAGTAGTACAGAGCTTGGCTCTCATGCACTATGCCCTAGGTTCATTTCCTAGTACGCAAAACAAAATAAAACAAAACAACAACAAAAGCAAGTAATCAAAGAATGGGGCCTGTTTAGTATGGAAAAGCACAGCTGTAGTTGAGATATGTACATAAGGGACAAAAATCACAAATGGTGTTAGGCATGAACTAATTTATTAGAGTAGAAATACTGAAAACAGACATGTTTGAAACCTAAAATTACAGGAATTATAAGGAAAGCTGGGCAAGGTGTGGATCAGTGGTAGAACACTTGCCTAGGAAGTGTGAGGCTCTTGGTTTGAGTCCTAGCATGGCAAAAACAAACAAACAATTATAATATAAACAGCATTTTCTTTATTGAGTAAAAACCTATGAAACTCAACCTCAGGGAAGGCTAAACTTTAAGTAAATTTATGAACTCATAGACTAAAATACTGATGAAAGACTCAAAGGAGAATAGTTATAATTGTGATAAATGTAATACTGACATCATTCTAGAGCAGAAGTTAGCCAACTTTTGCAAAGAGGTAAATAGAAAATAAATATTTTGGGCCTTGTAGGTCATTTATGGTCTCTGCTGAATATGCTTTCTTTTTTTTTTGGTACCGGGGATCGAACTCGGGTCCTTGTGCTTGCGAGGCAAAAGGTGGAACCACTGAGCTAAATCTCTGGCCCCTTTCTTTTTCTTTTAAAATAATGCTTTAAAAATAAAAGTTTATGGGCTGTACAAAAACAGATTGGAGGTCAGGTTTTCCTGTGGGCAAGTTTACTGATCTTTGATTTATACTATATAGCTAATAAGAATATTGCAATATATGAAAAAAATTACCGTTCCAGTTTTCCAAGTATTTTAATTTCCATAATTTCTTCAGAATTGCCAATAAATACAATGCCAATTCTAGGGATTAAAAGAACAGGAAATATAAGATTCACAGATGATATTTATTTTTATTACACAGATTTTACAGTAAGCAAATCTCTACAGATCTTTAAAAATTTAAAATGAATTTATGATTGAAAATTCTAAATAACTGTTTGCTATTCTAATGTTTGCTTAAAAAGTATTTTTTAAGTGGATTAGAAAATGAGACTAAATTACCTTGCAGCAGCTTCCACTAGCGCCTTTTCATCTGGGGAAGATGCATAGTACTCTAGTTGAGAGGATGCCAGGCTGGACTGCCAGGGACCATCACCAATGCCATCACTTTGAACATTGCTGATCTGCACAGTATGGCAGAGACTAACTGCTTTGAAGAAGAGACCATGTTCTTTAATCTGTAGAAACATAATATTCAAGATACAAGCACCATTCCCAAATACTATTTAGGAAACCTGACACTAGTGGTTAAACCTAGGACCTCATCCATACTAGGCAAGTGCCCTCTGGCTGAGCCACACCCCTTTCTCTTTTTATTTTGAGACAGGGTCCTGCTAAGTTGCCCAGGCTGGCCTCAAATATGTGATCCTCCTGCCCCGGTCTCCTGGGTAGCTGGGATTACAGGCATGGGCCATCATGCCTGGCTCAGAGATAGAATTCTAAGTGCCAGAACAAGGGTGTTACAACCTGGATCACCTGAATAAAAGCTGGCTGCTGGGATGGGGCTTTAGCTCAGCAGCACAGTGCCTGTCTGGCAAGTGCGAGGTCCTGAGTTCAATCTCTAGTACCAAAAAGAAAAAAGCAAAAAGCTGGCTGCTTCTAACTTCAAAATATGAAATGTCACACTAGCTTTGAACCCTTCAACATATGTGCACCTTTCTGGGAGGAATAGCCAAATTACAAGTAAAGCAGGACCCTGCCCCACTTTGGTGGAAAAAGTGAGGTCTCAAAAAAAAATAAGAGTTCAATGACTTTAAGCTCTATTTCCCATTAAAGTCTTTTTCACTTCAAGGTGGTAACAGCTTTTCTTAAGTCAGTTCTATTTAAACACCAAAAGAGCTCGGGTAGGCACACTGTAAGTGATGAATAAAACTGGGCTGTAACTACAAATTCTTAGCGTTTTGTAATACTGAGTCAAAGACATACATTTCAAACACATATACTCCTTGGTCTACTGGACATTAACTTTTTCCCCTACCACCCATCAATTATTGAAGAAAATTAATGCAAAACCCTTATTTATTCAGTTAAAAATTGCTTACTAGTTCATTTTCATTTTCAGGACTGGTTCTAAAAGAGGAACTGCTTGTAAGATGGGCTAAGTTGCTAAGGTGAGATAAACCACTAAGATATGATAAGTTTCCTTCTGAAGAGTCAGGTGTTGGTCCTTCGGGTACAAGTCTACCATTGATTTCTTGGTATTTTATGCCATTAATTGAACATTCCCGGAACTGCATCTCATTTTCTGTTAGTGTTCCAGTTTTATCTGTAAACACGTAGTTCACCTAGAGAAACGGAAAGCAAAATAAAATAAACCTTTGTGTTCATATTCTTATGGTGAAAAACAAAAACCTCATCCTGTGTCTCCTAAAGTCTAGTTGGCATAGAACAACATACCAACACGGGAGATTCTTATAATCCAAGCACAAATAACAGATACCAAGGAAACAAAACGAGGTAACACCAATATTTTAACTCTCCATACACTTGGAAGTTTGTAGCATCTTAGATCCATGTTCACCTGTACAGGTGACTGAAAATGAGACATAAGAACTTCATTTCCTTTTTTCTTTTTTTTTGGTACCGGGCCCTTGTGCTTGTGCAGCAGGCGGCGAAAGCACTCAGCTAAATTCCCGGCCCAAGAACTTCATTTCTACCTCCTGGTTAAGCTGTTTTATAAATAGCAAGGCTCAAGAATTACTGAAGTAAGGGTGGGGAGGATGCTTAACCTAGAAAGTGAAAGGGTATCTGGGCCAGGAGAAATGGCACAGAGCTGGGAACTGGAACACAAAATGATAGCCACACAAGTAAGAGGTAAGAAGTTGTCCAACACAGAAGAAGTTGAAACCGAGGACAGGAAATAAGTACAGTTTACAAAGTTCAAAAGAATGTATTTTAAAAGGTAGATAAGACAAATTCTTTTATTACTCTTAGAAACTAATTCCAGAAAATTTACCAGAGAGGAAGGTAGTCCTAGCCCATCCATGAAGAGAAGGATATAAAAGTTAAGTCTTGGTACAAGCTGGATTGACATAAGGGTTTAACTTGCTGCAATGATATGTCTGTCTGTCTGTCTTTCTCTCCATACATATATATTACATATAAATATATGGAATTTACCCCAGGAATATAAGATTCAGCATAAAAATCAATCAACATAATCCACCATTTTAATAAAATGATATTTGCCTTTTATTCAGTGAATAAAATTCCCATCTTAGTCCAGGCAGAAAAAGCATTTAACAAAACCAATACCCTTCATGATAAAAATATTCAACAATTCAGGGATAAAAAGGAACTTCTTCAACTTGATAAAAGGTATCTACAAACACCTTATAGATACCATACTGAATGCTTTCTTCCTAAGAGGAGAGAAATAAAGATAGATATATGTTACTGTCATTTTTATCAACCTTGTACTAAAGAAGTCAGTTGTGGCACATGCCTGTAACCACAGCATTCTGGGGGATGAGGCAAAAAGACTCCAAGTTTGAACCCTATTTGGGGACCTTATCGACTTAGTGAGATCCTGTCTCAAAATAAAGACTAAAATATGCAGGGATGTACCTCAGTGTGAAGGCCCTAGGTTCAATCCAATACCACAAAAACAAAAAAACAAAAAAATGGTACCAAAGGTTCTGTCAGGACAATTAGGCAAGAAAAGAGAAGTTATTCTGATTGGGGAAAAAAAGAGGTGAAACTACTAAATGCACATGAAATAACTGTATATAAAAAAAACAACAACCTACAGAATTCACTAAGATATTTATTAAAACTAACAAATAAGTTCAGTGAGGTAACAGGATAAAAGATCAATATGCAAAAAGAAAGGTAGACTTAAAAATTGGAAAAAACTGTTTTGGCCAAGATATAAAGATGAGTGAGAAACCACTTTAAGATCCATGTTATGAGCTGGGCATGGTGGCACAGGCCTGTAATCTCAGCACTCAGGAGGCTGAGGCAGGAGGATTGCCATGAGTTTGAGGCCAGCCTGGGATACATAGTGAGTTCAAGGCCAGCCCGAACCACACATAGCGAGACCCTGTCTCAAAAACCAAAAAAAACACAAAAAACAAAAAACAAAATAAGATCCACATTATGGGGAATAGTAAAACATACATACAATACCTGACACGGAATTCTGCTATGTAAAATAATAAAGCTGGGTACACTGGGTACATGCCTGTAACCCCAGGTACTCAGGAGGCTGAGGAGGGTAAGCCCAAGTTCAAGGTCAGCCTGGGCAAGAAAGTGAGACCCTGTCTCAAAAATAAACACAAAAAACCAAAAACAAAAAAGAGAGACAGACAGGAAAAGAAAACCTTAGATTTACTGATTGTTTGGATATACAGAGATGCTTCATATATGTGTCAAAGAGTTGTTTTGTGGTATATGAAAGTAAGCAAATGAAAAAGAACATTAAATCTGGCTAATAGGACATACAGTATTATAAGGATTACATGAAGAACTGAGAACAATGTTTTTTTTTTTTGGTACCGGGGATCGAACTCGGGTCCTTGCGGTTGTGCAGCAGGCAATGAAAACACTGAGCTAAATCCCCGGCCCCTGAGAACAGTATTAAAAGTCATAATAACATTAATTAATAAATATTTATTAAATTCCAATTGTGATATAACAAGACCACAGGGCTTTGGAGAGGCAAAGTGGGCATGTCGTCTGGGTATGTGTATGGGAAGACAGTGATGCTATGTCTATATATTCTGTAACACAGAATGTCTAAAATTTTAAAGTCAAGAAAAAAATACTATATATTGGTAAATAATGGAAGAAACAAGATTTTAAATGGGAATAAGAATTAGGAGTGGAGCAAAGCTGGGCTGCTTTGGTATAAGCTTTGTATTATTTTGTTACATTGCTTCTCAGCCTTTTGGCTAAGATCAAGTGCATTATTTTGTTACATTAGCTTTGTATATGCTCTGCTCTAAAAAAAATTAGAAAAATAAAATCTTAAGATCATTTTTACCTGTCCAAGTTCTTCATTCAGATCGGAAGTATTGACTTGAGCTTTCTGATCTGATTCCTCATGATAGAGATCAAGATCCCAGCCAATAAAAAATGATCCAAGAAATTTCTGCATTTCAACTGTTACATACAGTGAAATTGGAATGATGAAATTGTAGAGTACCAGAAAAGCAAGGAAATCAGAAATAAATCTCAGAATCTAGGGGAAAAAAGAGAAATGATTATTTCATAAAAGAAAATACAAGAGAATTCAAGATAATGATCAGTTTTATGTGTAAAGAGACCATCAACTATTCTGAGGCTGAATACATTATGAATTGAAATTCATTTACTGAACTGTCTTCTTAGCACTGTATTTTCTCTGTTTACTTAGAATCTCGATCAATGTAAAAGGTTAAATTCAAATAACTTGTTACTTTTTTTTGGTACCAGAGATCGAACTCGGGACCTTGCGCTTGCCCAGCAGGCGTTGGAACCCCTGAGCTAAATCCCCAGCCCCTAATTTGTTACTCTTTAGGTGGGCATGGTGGTGCATGCCTGTAATCCTGACTTGGGAGGCTGAGGCGGGGGGATGGCCTTGAGTTTGAGGCCAGCCTGAACTACACAGTGAGATTCTGTCTCAAAAAAAAAAAATTGTTACTCTTAAACTAAAGGTCACCTAGTATGACTGAAACTACCTTTGGGGAAATTATAATTATATCTTTTGGAGTGCACATATCCATTCTATTACCCTTCAAAACCATAAACTAAAAATGGACTGTAACTTAAAACACAGTTGCTGGACTACACTTATTAGAAATTAAAACCATGATGTGGATATTACACAGGAAAGGCCTCCATCACTGGCACAGGAGAACCACACTCATGCTTTCTGTAAAAGGTGAAGCACACAGTTATGGATGAGAACGATACTGAAAATATGCCCCTGTATTTATCTGCTTTGTGGTTGGTCTCTTGTGATCCAAATGTCTTCCAGTAGCATTTGCATTTTAATCTAAAGTAAAATTTGTAGGACATTTTTTTTAAACCAAAATTATAGGTTATATTCTGTTGGTAGTCCATATTTAATCAGTTTAAAACTTTGATAACTTGTGAATTACTTCATACGTACCATCAAGACAATAAGGCCTCTTGAATTATTCGGACAGAATTGAAAATAAATTCTCCTTAATTCATTAGTAAGATACAGTAAATGGAATTGAAAATTGAATCTATAGTATTTAAGAGGAAAGCAAATATAGCTATATTTAAATTTTTGTGATATTTAAACATATTACATAGAGAATACGCCCTGAACTACAAAAATCATGCCGGCTGCTCTTTCTTTGTAATGTCACTTCGTCAGTCCCAATGGTTTTATGAGATCACAGTGGTCCTTCCTATTAGAAGTTACTACCAAAGCATTAACTGTGCCAAAAGGTGAAGTCTGTTTTACAGCAAAGTTACGAACATCATGAAATACCTTACTACTATTTCTCTGATGTTCTGTTTTTTGGTTATACCAAGGTTCATTCCATTTTTCTTCAGCTTGCCAGGTATATTTCAGGATAGTACTGATGATGGCTTCAGAAATAAGGATTATTAGGTAAATTATCAAAAATGTATTCATTGATCTGAAATAAGAAAAAATACAAAACATATTAATATATATTACTATATCTGTTTGCTTAGAGATTAATATTTGTATTAAAAATATTAAAATATGTAAAGAATTACTATCTATCCATGTATCTATTGATCCATCTATTTTTTTGGTATCACGAATCAAACTCAGGACCTTGTGCTTGCCAGGCACTGAGCTAAATCCTCAGCCCTACTACATCTATTTTAAAGGACATAATCTTTATTTTCAGGAAAAGGCCACTGAACAGAATCTATTTACCAACAATAAAAGAACCAATACATACAGATGTTACAGTAGATAATAGCTTTGCAACTTATTATTGCTGTAACTATTCTAAGATTTTTTTCTTGTATTTTCAGGGCCCATCTAATTGTAAGTGTAATAAATAAAAATAATATATATATATATAAATATTTTTTTTTGGTACTGGGGATCGAACTTGGGTCCTTGCGCTTGTGCAGCAAGCGGTGAAACCACTGAGCTAAATCCCCGGCCCTAAAAATAATATTATATAGCATTAAAATTTTACAAAATTTGTCAATCTACTATTTTACTTAATCTTTATAAAAACCCTATGAAGAAAGAATTGCTAAGTCCTTTTAACTGATGAAGACTCAAGTCTGAAGTTATATAATTTCTTCAAATCACCAGAAATTAACTTCAGAGCCTTCTTCTTTTCACCAAGCAAGCTTAATGTGACATATCTGATTTTAGGGTTAAATGCATACATTTTTGATACAATTAAAGAAATGTTATCTCATTTAAAATTTCAAATGTAGATTAAATAAACAATAGTATAATGAATCCTCAGGCATCCAACAAATATTTAGGGAAAATGCAGGTCACAGGCATTGTAAAGGCTCTTACTGATGGCAAAGTGGCTGGACTCTGCTTTTTCTCTCTAGGCCTTCCATAATTTAGCTTTATCTTAACTATGCAAAACTAGTTGATGCAAGTAGTTGATATGCAAGTAGTTGATATCCAGTATCTTCCAACATAAATGCCATATACTATGTGAGAATAAGGGGCATAGAACAGAATTGTTCGGTTACTATATATTAGGCACCTTGTTGGTACTTCATCGTCAGTATTGCTCACATTTTAAAACATGAAAACATCTGGTTCTACTGAGTAAAACAACTGGTCCAAGGCCACGTAGCTAACAACCACGGGATGTAAGGTTCAAATCTACATATTGTCTGACTCCAAATTCTGACCTATTTACCACCCTCACTGTGTCTCCTGTTCTCCCCCACTGCCTGGTCTATCTCTACCTTCTCTCTCTGTTCATGCCTGTCTCATCATACAGTCCAAGCTTGCTTACACTGTGTAACCAATTTTTATATATTTGCTTAACCAAGTTTTAAATGTTTAACTCAAAAGTCATCATCTTCCTGAAGTGTCTTAATTAAATTTATATTCAACTTTCTCTGGTTTAAATTAAAACTAGTGTTTTGGCTATGGCTGCAACGAAGCATGTGGTCCCTAAAGCAGGGTCATGGGGAGCTGTCCTGGTTGGGTGGGGGAGGGGGCTGCAGTTCTAGAGAATTCTAGCAGCCCCCCAAAAGACAGCCTGAATCTACAGAGCTGCCTCACAAAAGGCTGCTGTGAGCCACTGTGCTCTGGGCTGGTTTTAAAGTAAAAAACGAGGACGTCATCCTGACTCCATCATTCCAAGAAAATGTGGAACTTCCGGTTCCTCGACCACTTGTAGAGTCCCTAGCCCATCACCTGCCTGCTGGGGCTGCTGTGTGCTCTGCTGGTGTCCCTGAGGCCTGGTTTAAGAGAGCGTGCTGTACGTGTAGGGGCTTGGCTGTGCCCAGTCTGCCCTTGTCACCCATGGCGTGATAGCTGCTTGGGCTCTGAGCTGTGTCTAGTGTGGAACCTGAGGGAGGAAGCAGGGACTCTGAAGTAGCTTTTCTGTCACTCTGTGTCTGTAAGGAAAGGGGGTCACCTCGAACCTCCAGCCCGAAGTGCCCTGCAGTCCCAGTGGCAGTGGGACAGGGCAGTCTTACTGGAAGATGTTTTCCTGCTCCATCTGTGGCACTGGCATCTCTCTCTCTCTGGCCTCCACCCTCATACTTCCTAGCTCGTCTTCTCTTCTCCATCCCATCAGCCTTTACTCCTCCATCCTTTCTTGAAGGGTGGCCCCCTTGGAGTCTTCAGCACTGGCCTGCCCAAGTCTCACCACTCTCCTCCCCCTCCCCCTGCAAGTGTCTGGTCACTGTCCCTGTGATGAGTCCTCTGTCCTCCCTGCTTCCATTGGCAGCCAATGGAAGAGCCTGATCAGTGGAGCCACATGGCCATCTCTGCCTGTTCCCCTTAGAAACAAAGCCAGACCTGCTCACGTGATGCTGGTGCACATGATTTGTCCAACTGAACAGAACAGTCCTGGATGCTGCCACAAACGCAAGATGTGCCCTGCAGGTGAGCCTGCCGTAAGAATGACAGTACTTCTGGTTGGAGTAAAAAGAAAATGTCACCTGATCTCAGCCCCTTTGCACCCTGTATTTCCTCCTCCCTCCTCCTCACCCTAAATAAAAACAAAAAACACTTAAAAAAAAAAATTAAAACTAGTGTTACAGGCTGTAATTACTATTCAATTTTTCATTGTATATTAGTTTTAACTTACAAACTGACTGGAAATACCAAAAGCAGAAAAAATTGTAGCTTAGAAAACCTAGCACTACAACAGAGCCACACAAAAAACAAATTCAATACATATTTCTAGATTGTTTTCTCAAGCAAAATTCTGTTGATAGTTTTGAAGTCTCTTACAGTTCATGTGTAAGACTTTAGAGTTGAAACAATAATACCCTGGCAAATTTTCTACGGTTATTAATGTACTAACTCTCACTGATCTCCCTATCCAATTTCTATTTTAATATCTTAATTTCTGTCTTACTATCAACAGTTTTCAATTTTATTTATCCTAATATGTTTAAAAATACACATCATTTCATGAGTTTGTATGTCAGCCTTGTGCATGGGCCATGCTAAATCCTCTGTATTGCTCTAATATGTACGTGCTGCTGAAGCAAATATATGTTCAATTTTAAAGAACTTTTTTGATATGAAGAAACTTATTACAGAAATTAAAATACAAATAAACAAAACACTATAATAAGACATTATGTGCCCAAGACATCTTGAACATGTTATTTTATCATTTTCACTTCATCTATATTTTCTTCCATTCCAATTACTTACTCATTCATTCATTCATTCATTCATTTATTGAGACAGGGTATCGCAACGCAATTCAGGCTGGCCTTGAACTCACTATTTAGCCCACATGGGGCTCAAATTTCAAGCAATCCTCTCGCATCAGCCTCTCAAGTACTGGGACTCTATAGGTGTGCGCCACCATGCCCTGCTTTTAATTCTTATTTTTTGTTTCTTTTACCTCGTCACCTCATCAACTGCTTTAAAATTTTTTTTGTTTTGAACAAAATGCCACACAAAGTTATAAAAACAATACAAAGAGTGCCATGTAGTCTTAGTCACTGATTTTCCCAATTAGTACATTACGGTGAATTAAACTATGTACATTTGTTTTCACTATTCACACAATCTGTGCTCATTTGTATGCGTGTACAGCTCTAGAAGACTTAATCCCACATACAGATTAACTACCACTTCCGAGACACTGAACTACTGCATAACCACCAAAGAACTAGACTGCAGCTGCACCCATCCCCAGCCACAGCCCTGTTCCCTGGCAGTGTTACTCTGTCCTTTATCTCTATAGTTTTGTCATTCTGACCCTGTCACACAAAAAAAAGAAAAAAAAAAAGATTTGCAAATATTTCCTCCAACTCTATACCATGTCTTTCCATCCAATAGTCTTTCAAAAGTTTTAAATTGGTGAAATTCAATTTATTAATTTCTTTCCATTTAGTGATTGTGCTTTTGGTGTCTCTGCCTAACTATAGGTCCTTTCAAAAGGCCTTTCTTTTAAAAGTGTTATGTTTTACATTAAATTAATGAATTTAGTTATCTTGGTGCCAGAGATTGAGGACAGGACCTTGCATGTGGTAAGCAGGTGCCCTATCACTGAGCTACACCTCCAGTGCATGTTTTACATTTAATCTATGTTCCATCTGAATCCGTATACTGTATGTGCTATAAGGTTGACAGTTTTTTTCTGCTAAAAATACAAAATTATTTTAGCACCACTTAAGATTCTCTTTCCTTCACTGTACTGCTTTTATGCCCCTTTGCAAAATTAATTTTATGCATCTCTGTGTGTGTGTGCGCCTGTGTGTGTCTATTTTGGGCGTTGTCTTATTTTCTTACACCCACCAATAACAAATCGTCTTGATTACTGGAGCTATACTATCAGTCTAACACCAGATAGTGATTATTCTTACTTCATCCTTCAATTCCAAAATTGTTAGTTATGTTAGTTTCTTTGTGTTTTTACATACATTTCAGGATAAACTTGTCTATTTTTGTTTGTTTGTTTGTTTTTTTGGTAACAGGGATTGAACTCGGGTCCTTGCGCTAAACTTGTCTATTTCTAGAAAAAAATCTTGCTGGAATTTTTTTTTCTTTGATGGTACTGGGGATTGAAACTAGGACCTGCACATTGGACTAAAGGGCCCAAGATGGGCTTGAAGCTGTGGTCTTCTTGTCTCAGTCCCCACAGATCCAGGATTATAAGCTTACATCACCATGCCTGGCTCTAGATGGAATTTTGCTAAGAATTGTATTAAAACTCGATTGATCTGGGAGAACTGGCATCTTTATCCTGGCGAGTCTTCCAACCATAAACATGTCAGGGCCGGGGATTTAGCTCAGTGGTTATGCCACCTGACTTGAAAGCTCAAGGACCCAAGTTCAATCCCCAGTACCAAAAAAAAAAAAAAAATTCTCATAAACATGTCATATTGCCCCATATATTTAGGTCTCTGATTTCTCAGTGTTTTGTAATTGTCAGCACAGAGGCCTACATTTTGTTAGATGTATACTTGGGTTTTTTTTTTGAGGGGGGGCAACTGTAAATGATCTTGTGTTCTTAATTTTCATTTGTTTGACATTCCTGTTTTAATATTCAGTGCCACAAATTTCCTTATCAACACTGTTTTAGCTGCATCTCACAAATTTTAATATATTGTATTTTTATTATCTTCTCAGTTTAAAAAAAGTTTTTCTTTGAGGCTTCCTCTTTGACTTATGGGTTATTTAGAAGAGTTCCAGTTATTTTTATCTTTATCAATACTTCCAATTTTGTCTTTTTAGTCATTCTATTATATGTTTATTGGTATCTCCTTATAGTATTAATTTGCATCTCTCATGACTAATGAAGCTGTACAGTGGTGCCTCAGTTCACGAACTTAGTTTGTTCTATGTTTTGGAAGATGGCCAAGTTTGTGTTTGTGTGAGAAAGATGGCCATGGTCATATATGTCAATTGATGCCAAATGCTTCTGTTTGCAGGCCAAATTGTTTACAAATAAAAGCTCATATGCTCATTAGCCATTTGTAGATTTTCCTTGTGAAATGTCTACTCCAGTCTTTTGCCTACTTGTTCCTTAGGCTGTTTCTATTTTCATTATTATTCGTATGTGTTTTTTTAAAAAAAATATGGTTATATATTTCCAGATGACCTTGTTGTCCTTCAGCACTTCTCAGAAGTTCGCACTTCTCAGAAGTTCGTTCACAATTCTCTGCTATTTTGGATGGCATCACCGATACTGTTATTCACTTGTAGGTGATATATTTTCCCTTGACTGCTTACAATACCTTTTTTACAATACCTTTAAAAAATACATTTTAGAAGTCTGAGCATAAGGTGCATGTTTTTCTGCATGGCATCTGCTGATCTTGGTAGTGTAAGTTATTCCCCCCCCCCCCCATTTGCAGAAATTTTCAAGTCATGTTTTCAAATATTTTTATGCTGTCTCTTTTTGGGGTAAAGAATTATACTTATGCTAGACAGTTTCTTGTCTCACATGGGTCTGAAACTTCATTTTCCTCCAATCTTTTCTCCCTCTGTTCTTCAAAATGAGTAATTTCTATTGCTTTTTTTCTAGTTTATAGACAGTGTCTTCTGCTTTCCTCAATTTCATGTTAAACCCATCTCATGGTGTTTATATTTTAGCAATTACATTTTTCAACTTGAGAATTTCCATAAATTTTTTTATAGTTTCTGAGTTTCCCATATGTTCATTCATTTTTTCCTTTAGGCCCTTGAACATACTTATAATATCTGCTTTAAAGTTCTTTATCTGCTAATTGTAAGATTTAGATTATTAAATATAGTAATTATGTGTAAATAAAAATAGACAGTTTTCTTACTTTTCCACAGCAGATCTTTTCTGTGACTTGCTCTTATAATTTAATGCCATTTTAGTTTCCATTCCGGTGTACACAGCAACACCTATAGAACAAAAAAGAACCCTCTTACAACAATCTTCTGGCATGCTCACAGGAAATGAATGTACTTACTAGCATGCAATATTTTAAGAAAAAATTTACAGTTGTTATAACTTGGCTTTTCTTTAAGTCTTTTTATAGTTTTTAAACATTTGCCAAGTCTAATTTTGGGGAGCCTGTTATGGCTCGTGTCCGGATGTTCCCCAAAGCCTCATGTGGTCATAGGTGGGGCTCTTTCAGAGGTGGCTGGATCTAGAGTGTGTGTGACGCTGGGATTGATTCATGGGGCAATGCTGGGATCAAGGGTACTAGAATTAAGGCTGTGAGTGCTACCTTCTCTAAGTAGCCTGGATAAGATATAAGGGATAGAAAGAGGTGTGGTCATCCCTGGTTGCTTTGCTACCTTCTGCAACTGTTTCTCCTATATGATGCCCCTCTGCCATACCACCCTGCCTTGGAGCCAGCCAATTATGGATTGAAACCTCTACAAACTGTGAGCTAAATAAACCTTCTCTCCTTTAACTTTGGTTGTTGGGTATTTTGTCTCACCACCCAGAAAAGTAACTAAGACAGAGTCCCAGTCCATCTGCTGGATGGGAAGCCCATAGGAGTCTTGCTCCCAAGGTATGAACAGGTATCTGAATGAAAGAGATATAACTAGAATTATAACTGATGGAGGAGAGAGATGGGAAAGAAATAGATGGCCTCTACAGATGGAGCTGGCAGAGCTAACAAAGATGCAAATGGAAAGCACACTGTTAGGTTGGTACAATGGATTAGGGCCAGAGAGTGAAAGGCCTTGAATGCCAGTCTGCTCTGGGCATCATTCCATAAGCACAGAGACAACACAGGTATCTGTCAGAGCAAACTATATAAACACAAACAAAATGCTAGTTTAAAAATGTCCATGTGAAGAACTGAGATGAATAAGAATGATAGTAATAATAACAGGACTGAAATTTGGCAATGAATGAAATTAAGACAAAACCAGCTTTATAAAAAAAAAGTTGCAGTTAGACCTTTCCTTGAATACTAGTTCTGCATCTTTGGGTAAGTATTCTAAGTCTCACTTTCCCCTTCTTAAAATGGGAAAAAAACCATCATAGAGTGAATGAAGTCTGTGTGAAGTCAGTGGCACTTTTTCACACTTTTGTGGAACCTTTCTTACTATCCAACTAGAGAAGAAAACCCTGGTCCCAGTAAACAACCACTCCCTAGCCCCTGGGAACAACTTACCTGTTTTGTCTCCATGAATCTGTCTATTCTCAGTATTTCAAATAAATGAAATCAGACAATACAGACCACTGATGTCTGGTTTCTTTTACTTACTATAATATTTTCCGGGTTCATTCCGTTTTATGGCTGAGTAGTATTCCATTATACAGATATATCAATTTTTGCTTATCTTTTCATTAGCTGATAAACATTTGGGGTATTTCCAATCTTTGGTTAGTATGTGTGAATAGTGCTGCTATGAACATTCTGTGCAAGTTTTTGTTGGAACACTCATTTTGAGTTCTCTGGGTATACAATGAGAATGAGATTGAGTCATATGCTAATATTATGTTTAACTTACTGAAGAACTGACAAACTGATTTTCATAGCAGCTGCAACATCTTACACTTCCATCAGCAATATATGAGGGTTCTGATTTTTACACATCCTTGCCAATACTCTTTCTGAAAATATGGATTTCTTCTTCAGTGTCTAACACTTTGAGATAAGATAAAATGGAGGTATAAGAAGAGAAAATAAGGAAGATCTCAAAAGTTGTGGTTATCTTGCTCTTTATTTATAACTGAGTTTCTTATATAAGAGAAACCACATGAGATTTACATGTCTGATTGATTTTACTTAACATTATAGTCTCAAAGTATACCCATTTCTCTACAAATGACTCAATTTTATCCTTCTTAAGGCAGAGTAGTACTCCACTTTATATAAGTACCACATTTTCTTTATGCAATCTGTTAATGAATATATAGGCTACTTCAAGATTTAGCTATCACGAATCATGCTGCTATCAACATGGGTATGCCTGCAAAATAAATGATAGGTAACAGGAAATAGGGAGATAGAACTTTTTCAAATGGGAATGGGAGGAAGAAGCAGAAGAGAATGAGGTGAAGAATTGAGGTTGTGTCATGTACAGGTACCAATTCCCTACAAGGAATGTAATCATTATATAACGCAATCATGGACTAACAAAAAATAAAAACTGAAAAAAAAAAGAATACCCATTGTGGTTAACAATGGCTCAGGACAGGAAAGATCACTCCAGAAACCGGAGAAGCTAGTTGATAGATAAAAGTTGTTGTCGATGTCACAATGTGCCCAGAGTGGATTCAGGGTCTACTAAGTAGACTTAGTTCTCCAAGGCAAGAGAGTTATTTATTCATCCTTTTGATACTGCCAGGACATATTCCAGTATTACCTGATATAGAGTCAGAGATCAATGATAATTTATTGAATAAATAAATTAGTGGTTATTAATTCCATGTAAGAATAATCATGGAATTACAGAAGTGATTTACTACAACATGGTGCTAAATCACTGGTTCTCATCCACATTACTAAAAGTACAGAATTATTTTCTTTTTGTCTTTTTTATTTTGTTTTGTTTTTGAGGCAAGGTCTCACTATGTAGTCCAGGCTGGTCTCAAATTCCTGGTAATTCTCCTGCCTCTGCCTCTCGAGTGGTGAGATTACAGGTGTGCACAACCATGCCTGGCTCAGAATTATTTTCTTAGTGTTCAGTTTCACAAGTCACCTCAAAGAGAATTAAAGAGCAAAGTTCTAGTCTATTACTCAAAAACAGATTACTAACAACAACAAAAACAATATTAAGACAATCTTTCTAAGAAAATTACCATATACAACATTTCATTAATAAACTATTCGATCAAAAGGCCATATATGCTGTTTACTAAAATACTTCATATGAAACATGAATACAAAAGTTTATTTTAAGTATGTACAAACCAAAAATTTCTTTTGTGTTTTTTAATCTGGCTCCACGAAGTAAGAGACTCTCTGGGCCCAGAGGCCTAAGAAAAAAGAGAAAATAAAAAAAATATGTAAAAAACTCAATTTAACTAAGGAGCATCTTCAGTAGGAAGTACTTAAGCTCTAGGTGATACACTAGTTTCATATAAAACCAAAACCCAGGACGAGGATTTAGCTCAGTGGTTCCACTGCCTGCCTCGTAAGCGCAAGGACCCAAGTTCGATCCCTGGTACCAAAAAAACCCAAAAAACCAAAACCAAAACCCTAGCTATTGCAAAGCTGCCTAGACCAACCATGATGTTAGTTACCATAACAACAAACACCTGCTTTAGCATTTCAGTCACTTTAAGGTTAGTGGCTCAGAAATAAAGTAGGCATGTAAATAAACTCACAAAGCCACTAGTTTCAAAATGTTTGAACATAAAATTAAAACAATAAGCAGTGATTTAATAAAGTTAAGCAGAAAATGGAATTTTAAAAAATTAAGCAAAATTAATAGACAGCTTTGGAAATAGCTGAATTAAAATGCAATATAAACATAAACTATAGATTTGTGTATAAATGCATGACTTCTGCACAATTAAAATTATGCTGGATTATAAAATATAATGTAGGAAATATGTTAGTGTTTTTGTAGGCAAGATCACACGGTACAACTTGACTACTTGTATTGCATATTTCTTGGAGCACACGTCTTCTTGCTGTTTGAATTTCTCTCCATAAAGGAGATATAAAATGACAAGGAATAACTAGAAAGGAAATTGTATCTTCTTAGTGACAGCAAAATCATTAAGAGTCTGTTACAGATAAACTAGAAAGTCTTTATTTTGTTGATATCTTGTATGCTTGTCTGAAAGATACATACCTATTTATCTAAAGCAAAGAGAATTTAAATCATTGCTTAAAAAATATCTGCAAACCCAAACACTGTAAAAAGTGTGACGAGCCAAGGAGGGCCAAGTGTCGGGGACACAGCCAACAAGTATGATTTTATCAGATATTTGGAGTGCACTTCATGAATAGTCCAAAATCAATGTGACAACTCTTTATGAGCTGTAAAGTGGCTCTGTTCCCCTTGGTATCACTTCTAACAATGAAGAAAATGCTTTGAGTTCACGCTAGCATACAAGCTTTAGATTTTAAAGCCAATTCATCAATTCACTCCAGTTGCTTCAGTAAAAGAACAAAGTTCAAATGTTTAGCCACTCTGGGAGTGGAAGTAACATAATTGCTACTTTCCTTTACCAGCCACAGTATCTTAACGCAATTCAGGTGATATAGTCACATATTTTTCACTATTCCACTATAGAAATAAAAATAGGGCTGGGGATTTAGCTCAGTGGTTTCACTGCCTGCTGCGCAAGCACAAGGACCCAAGTTCGATCCCTGATACCAAAAAAAAAAAGAAATAAAAATAAAACCAGACACAGCAGGGACTCTACAAATAGATCTTGTGTACAAAGTTTATTGAATGTGCTCCTATGTTAATGTTCATTAAATGTTTAGTGCTAATGTATACTTTTGGTGGCTTGTTGATTTCATTTTAAGTGCTCAACCCTTTCCATTAGTGACTTTTTCCTCCAGACAATGTAAACTAAACATGTCTCCAAAAAATAAGTGGCACATCAAACCTGATTAGAAATTCAGGGATACAGGGCCGGGGATTCAGCTCAGTGATGCCACTGCCTGCCTTGCAAGCACAAGAACCCGAGTTTGATCCCCGGTACGAAAAGAAAAAAGAAATTCAGGGATAATTCCAAGATTGATTCTAATTTAAACCCTTTGGTCACCAGTAACAATATAATTTCATTCTATCAGTAAATCTTTTAACTGACCCAAAGCCTTTCATTGAGATGCCAAAAATTAACTTGAATATTGAGGGAAAACAAAGAAAGATAACCAAATAAGCAAAAAATCAATCAAAATAAGTGGTTCTGAACTGGGGACTAAATATTCTAGCTCGCACTGAATGATTATGGCTTAAATGTGTAAGGATCTGAATAAAAGCAGCTATTATTCAAAAAAGAAATATAAATCTTGCTAAATTATTTTGATATCATTTCATGGGTGTTTCATCTGCACTTACTGGTGCTACAAATTACTATCAGATAAAGGGCTGTTTTGTTTGGTACCGGGGATCTAACTCAGGTCCTTGCACTAGCGAGTGAGGCAGGCAGTGGAACCACGGAGCTAAATCCAGGGCTCCAAGGGCTAATTGTTTTAAAATTGACCTTATCTCACTTATCTCGTGATAGCTGTTTGTTTACCTAATCTCCCTTTACCTTTCAGTTCACCCTCAAACAGTTCCCACTTAAGAGTAGACAACAAATTTATTCTTACCTTACAATTTCTTCCATTTGCTGAGTTATTATCATTCGTCCCATGAATCTATAAAAGAATGTAACATATAATAAAAATATATCATATTACTTATTAAGTCAATGGGCAGAACATGGTAGATAGTTTTAGAAAGATTTCCATCCATGAAACAAAATCAACCTGTTGTACATATGGGTGGTCCAATAGTCATGCTATAAAATATAAAAATAAATATGTAGTCTTTATGTTTTAAAAACTGTAATATTCTTGCCATCTCTCCTCCAGCTATAAATGAGGTAATGAATGAAAAAGTGTTTTCAAAATGCCAACATGTTATATGTTATTACTATTATTAGTTTGGTCACTATAATTTATAACTACTACACAAAAATACATATATTATTTAGTCAACAGTGAATGTTCAAGTTTTTTATTATAATTTTACTAAAGTCTCCTGTGACCTAATAGATCACTGGAACTGGGTCATATATTTACTTACTCATTCAATTAATCAACACATATTCATTGAACAACTGCTATGTGTGAGTCACATAGGGGTAGAGTAGTAACCCAAAACCTATCAATGAGCTTCTTTCACCTTATAGTCATATTTAAACTTCTTATTGCCTGAAATCTAGAGTGAGTGGTCTGTTATCAATGGATTTTCACAGACTGGCCTTTCAGTTCTAATTGCTCCATTGCATAAAATCAATTCAAGCATAAAGGTATTTCCTACTAGTGTGAGACGTAAACTGAGCTTCATGTTTATCTTTAAGCAAAGAAATAGTCCCTCCCATAGCCCCCATTATTCCTCCTCTTTCCAGGTCACAGACCCTTTGCTCCTTGGAGACTGGCTTCATACTCTCTTCCCACCCCCTTCTATTTCCTTCAGTTCCTCAGGGAGAAGTGTGGTTTTTATTCTCTCTACTTTGTGGAATTTTATGTAGTCCTGGCTCCAGTCTAAATCCATTTGGATTTAGAGTCTAAGAACAAACTCAGCTGATGTCTCCCTGGATACCTTTCAGAGATGATGTGTGATAGGCATTTTTGTTTCCTTTAGCTAAATTCCAGCAAGGCATCTGTTTCTTTTTATCTGCCCTGTTACCCATGATTTTAAAGCACTGCCAGTATTTGTTCAGGCCAGTTCCACACTGAACACATCTGTGCTTTATTTATCCCTTTCTACAAATCCACATTTTGATTTTTTCAAAGTGAGAATAACTTTATTATTCTCTTTTCTGGTTTAAAGACTAGATTCACATTCAAGCATGCACATATTTTATAAAACCATTCAGATAATATAAAAAGACATCAAAAAGGAAGTAACAATAGCTGATAATCCAACCATTTAAATATAAACACTGCCAATCTTCTGGGGCATGTTTTTCAGGCTTTTTAATACATACACACATATATGTAAGTACAAATCTTAAAACACAAAAACACGGTATCATAAATACTGTAACATTATTCTCCACACTTAACATGCCCTACAAAAAACTTGTACCTACATTACTATTTTTAGTAGCGACATATAATACTGCATTTTTTGTTTCTGTACAATTTATTTAAATCACTACTGATGGGAAGTTTAGAGATTTTCTCTCCAATTTTGAACAGCCCATCCTGCCCTGACTGCATGTATCTCTTCACATTTTTATTAAGATAAATTCCTAGGAATAGAATTTTTTTTAAATTATTATTATTATTATTATTAATTTATTTATTTTGGTACTGGGGATCGAACTCGGGTCTTTGCTCTTGTGCAGCAGGTGGCGAAACCACTGAGCTAAATCCCTGGCCCAGAATTTTATTATTTTGTTACAAAAATTCATAACTGTGAAAGAGCTGAGTCAGAATCTAAGATATAATGGGATGGAAATATAAGAGAGAACTAAAGCAGGTAGAGAGACAGACAGACCGAGAGAAAATGGAGACAACTGTGATAAGCACGTGCTAGAGGCTGCTAGTGAACAGAAGGCTCCTCTGGTGTTTACTTCTTTCAGCAGCTTAGCAGAAATCACCTATTACCACGACTGCCTCTCTTTCCCTCTCTCTTTATGGTACTAAAGATTGAATGCAGGGCCTTCACACTACACCTACAGCATTTTTCCTTTCTTTCTTTTGTTTGTTTGTTTGGTACCGAGGATCAAACTCCGGACCTTGTGCTTGCGAGGTAGGCGGTGGAACCACCTGAGCTAAATCCCCAGCCCTTTTTCCTTTCTTTTTTTATTACATTGAGACAGGGTCTCACTAAATTAAGTTGCCCAGGCTTGGCGTGAATTGTGGTTCTCCTGCCTCAGCCTCCCATAGTGCTGGGATTGTAGGTGTGCTCTACCGTGCCCAACTATGATATTTTCTCTTGATAAGCTATTACAAGTTTTAAGAGGAATAATGTGACCCCAGTTAATAAACATGCAATTGAGGAAAAAAAATCATGATGTCCCTGGTGGGGGAAATTAAAACAGAAAAGTCTTTTAGCTTTCTAATAAAAAAATACAAATTAAAACTAGTTTAAAACTATAAAACTATTATTATATAATTAGCAAAAAACCTAGTAACATTTAATTGTAGTAAAATTTTGAAACAAGAAAAAAATAATATAAACTTATACTTCGCCCATGCAATAAAAATTAAGTCAGGTGTGATAATACATGTGCTTGTAATTCCAGACACTTGAGAGGCTACGGAAGGAGGATCATACATTTGAGACTAGCCTGGGCAACTTGACAAGATCCTACCTAAAACTTAAAAATAAAAAGGGTTGGGAATATAGGTCAGTGGTAGAGTACCCGTGGGTTTGATCTCAGTACTGAAACAAACAAAAAACAAAAAAATAATCCAACCAACCAAAAACAAACAGCAGCACCCCTGTAATCCCTGTACTCTAGGAGTCTGAGGCAGAAATGTTCCAAGTATTCCCGAGCAGCTTAGTGACTTAGCAAAATTAGTCAAAATAGAAATAAAATACTGTCTCAAAATAGGATACAAGAAAATATTTGGGGATGTCATCCACTGCAAAGGCCCTGGATTTAATTCCCAGTATTGTAAAAAAATAAAAAGTTAAAAAAATTTCCCCAATTTTGCAAGATAATTTAAAAACCACAGATCAAACCACTACTCATATTTCATATTAATCTTGTACCTAATATTGCATCATTTTCTAGTTTTTCATAATTTCTTTTATTTGCAGTGGGCTGAGACCAGGGCATAATAGCAATATAGAAATCTTAAAAGTACTTTAATTCTTTACAAGTAAACGTATTTATAGTTTAAATGCTCCTAAAGCATAGAATTCCAAATTTTTTAGTTAACTGAAGAATTCAATGCTGCATTTGACTTTTAAAAAAATGCAAGATTTTTATAATATTGGACAGGAAAATCCATTAGAAAGATATGGATACAAAACAAACATATGTAAAAGATTTGAAGATGCCAGTGATTAAGGGTAAGATTTTGAAATATTTCAACCAACAGGGGGAGATATGTGACAAGAAGCTGAAGGTGATTTTTACAATGTGTTTGTAATTTAGTCTCCTACTAGTTATTGAGTGAAAATGAGCTTGTTTAATGAACTATAATGTTGAAGAGTTTCTCTGTTCCTTTAAATAGGATCTTTACAAATGTAATACACTATTATCATTATTATTTTGTGCTTACTGTGATAGGTGATAAGACATAGCTTCTGTCCTTAAGGAACTTACAGGACTTCAAGATAATATTTATGTAATTTTTTCTTTTTCACTTTATTGTGTGTTATATATGTGAAATACTGAAAGCTACGTAAGTAGCTTTCATACATACATAAGGTTCTAAAGGTAGTATTTCTACACAATAGTGAAAACAAAGACATAATCTCAACTTCATGTAGCTTATAAAAAAGTTGTTAAAATTATTCTTCTTGAAATAATCTCTATATACTACCACAGCTATAAAGTAAGCACACTAGTTTATAAAAAAATAGAAGGTAATGGAAAAGTAGAAAATTTATAGTTCTAAGTATAGGTCTGTCTTCCTGACTAAAAATGAATATACTGAACATCACATGTACCTGTACAAATCTGCTTCCGGTTGCTGGCATTCTATTACAGCTATAAGACTGTCCAAATTGGCAACTGTCTGTAATACTGCTGTTTCTGGAACTGCCACATGTGTCTGGGGGAAAAAAAAAAGGGAAAAGAAAAAGAAAAGAAAAGAGAAAGGATTTATATCCAAATGTGACCTTAGATAACTACTACTTGAGATCTCTTTTACAGATAATTGTCCTACTGTACTTGAGATCACTCAGCTAGACAACAAAACAGAACCAAGACTATAAAGCAAAGAGAAAGGGATTGTCATGATTGTCTATAGAGACTATTTGCACAAAAGAAATTAAGTCTATGTATATTCACTACTGTGCAAAGTTTATTATAAGCAATTTAATTTGATAAAAAGTGAATTTTAGCCTTGATTGTAATCTGAAAACAGAAAATTTAAACTTGTCCCTTAACTTAAAAAAACATGAAAAATATTAAAAGATATTTTTCTTAAAAACACTTTCCATTTTCAATTTGAACTGACTAAACCATATGAAGCCACTCTTTAAATAAATATATAACATTTATTCTTTTTAAAAACTTGTAATTTTTCAAAGTACATATCAGTAAATTAAAAATTCTCCTTTATCAGGTCATACTTTATTATTTCAACCAAAGGAAAATATCATTATCATCCAGAGGTATTTTGTTCATCAGGAGAAACCTTCAAGGGCCGGGGATTTAGCTCAGTGGTTCCGCCACCTGCCTCACAAGTGCAAGGTCCCAAGTTCGATCCCCGGTACCAAAATAAAGAAATAAATAAAATGAATGCAAACAAAAGAATAAAAAACAATAAAAATTATAAAAAAAAAAAAAAGAGAGAAACCTTCAGACATACATGCAAACAGACCTTTAGGTTTGTTTCTCCATCCAAACTAGCAGTTGTAATGTGACATGAACCATCAGGTCGATCCGAGGAGAGAAGCACCAAGTCTGCAGGGAAGATTTCATCTTTGGCTATTCGAACAATATCACCTACCTACGAAGAATTTAGGGGAAAAGTAAATATACAGATTTTAAAAGGCAAAGACATCTTTATTGGTTTCTTCATTAAGTGGCCTACATGATGATGATGATGATTTGCAGTGCTGGGTATCAAATCCAGGGTCTCAAGTATGCTAGGTAAGTTTGAGCTATGCTTCCAGCTCTATTATAGTATTTTAGTGTAAAAAAAAAAAAAAGGAAGGTTTTAACTAATATATAATCAAGACTAGAATTATGTGCCATATCAAAACAGAATTTTCTATTATTTACCAGATGCATACCCGAATGTTTTTTGACCTAGTTTTTACAAGGCCACCACTTCGAACAACATAAACAGGAGCTCCATTTACTTCATTATCTGAGTTATGGCGTAACCAATCTTCATATCCCTGAAAATACCAAAATAAAAACATCTTTTTAGTGTAAAGGTATTTTTATCAAATGAGAAAAAAAAGCCATAAAAACTCCCCCCAAACATTTCGCTCATCATAATTATCCTTGGCTATTTTGATGCATATGTTCATAAGTATGACATTCATTCCCCCTTGAAATCTTATTTGCAGACAACATGATCTTTTACATAGAAGACCCCCCAAAATTCCACTGAAAGACTCGAACTAATAAACAAATTCAGCAAGATAGCAGAATAAAAAATCAACACTCAAAACTCAATAGTGTTCCTGTACACCAATAATGAACCCACCACAAAAGAAATTAGGAAAACAATACCATTCACTATAGCATCAAGAAAAATTAAATACTTAGATTTAAGGCAACCCCAATAAAAAAACCAACAGTATTCCTCACAAAACTAGAGAAAGAAAAATCCTAAAATTCATATGGAACCAGAAGACACCAGAATACCAAAAGCAATCCTAGGAGACAAGAGCAAGACAGGAAGACTCACAACCCTGCATTTCAAGTTATATTATAAAGCTACAGTGGTAAAAAAAAACCCAGCATGGTACTGGCAAAAAAATAGGCACATGGATCAGTGGTACAAAATAGAGGATGCAGAAACAACCCTGGCACATTCAGCCATCTGATCTTTGACAAAGGGGTGGAGGAACGATAGCCTCTTTAACAAATGGTCCTGGAAAACTGGCTATCCACATGCAGAAGACTGAATCTAGACCCTTATCTCTCACCACATACTAAACTAAAATCAAAATGGATCAAAGATCTAAATATGAAAACAGAAACAATTGATCTCCTAGAAGATAAAATAGATAAAACCCTTGAAGACATAAGCATGGGCAAGGACTTTCTGAAGAGAACCCCAATTGTACAAGAAATAACATTAAGAATCAACAAATGAAATTATATATAAAAAAGCATAAAAACCAACCAACAATGTGAAGAGATAACCTACAGAATGGGAAAAAAAGTTTGTTAGCTATTCTGCAAAAGACTTAAAGAACTAAAAAAAATTAGATCCCCCAGGGGCTGGGGATTTAGTTCAGTGGTTCTGCTGCCTGCCTCGAAAGCGCAAGGTCCTGCATTCGATCCCTGGTACCAAAAAAAAAAAAAAATTAGATCCCCCCCAAATATAGGGACCCAATAAAAAAAATGGGCAATGGAAATGAACAAGGGCCAATAAATACATGAAAAAATGTTCAACATCATTGGCCATTACAGAAATGCAAATTAAAACAACACTAAGATTCCATCTTACTCCAGAAAGAATGGCTATCATCAAGAAATCAAATAATAGAGCCAGGGATTTAGCTCAGTGGTTTTGCCACCTGCTGTGCAGGCACAAGGACCCGAGTTCAATCCCTGGTACCAAAAAAAAAAAAAAAACAGCAAAAAAGAGGTAGTCTTAGCATTTGTTATTATCTGAGTTCCTTTATGTTTTGGTACTGGGGATCAAACTCGGGTCCTTGCGCTTGTGGGGCAGGTTAAGGCTGCAGGGAAAAAGAACTCTTCTACATCATTGTTGGGAATGTAAACTAGTACAACCACTATGGAAATCAGTATGGAGATTCCTCAAAAAACTAAAACAAGAAATTCCATTTAACCCAGCCATTCCCCTTCTAGGTATCTTTCCAAAAGAATTAAAGACATCATGTTGCAGTGATATATGCATGTACTCATGTTTACAGCACCACAACTCATAATAGATAAATCTTGCAATGGTCTGTATATCTATCAACAGATGAATGGATAAAGAAAATGGGGTATCTACACACAATTAAATACTACACAGCTATAAACACAGATAAATCGGAGTCATTTGTAGAAAAACAGATGCACCTTATGACCGTAATGTTAAGTGAAGTAAATCAGATGCACAAGATAAATATCACATGGTTTCTCTTATATGAGAAACCCAAAGTATAAATAGAAAGCAAAATACAAGATAGATAATAGAAAAGAGAGAGAGAGAGCAAATGGAAAAGAGACCAGGAGATGGAGGGAGGGGAAGAGAGGAAGGTGACAGGGAAGTAAAAAGAATTAAGATGTGCCATGCACATAAACCAACTCCCTACGATAAATGTAATCATTATGTAATGCATATATGACTAATAAAAAAATACTCTTTTTTTCTTGGTGTTCACTATACACATTACTGGTTTTCACAGGACCTCTCTAGTTATTTCTCTATTTCTTTTTCGAAGTTTCCCTCTATGGCATCCTTATGAACGTTTTCCTCAGACTTGACTCTTTCTAGGTGATTTCTTCTATTCCTGTACATTGAAATAGTAAAAAATGGGGCTGCGGATTTAGCTCAGTGGTTCCGCTGCCTGCCTCGCAAAGCGCAAGGACCCGAGTTCGATCCCCAGTACCAAAAAAAGAAAAAAAAAACCGAAATAGTACAAAATATGCCAGTAATTCTTAAATTTAGATCTCTAACCCATATCTCCCTTCTAGATTCCAAACTTGAATATCTAACTTCATTATTAACACTTCCATTGTGTTATCTCATAAATATCTTAAACATAATAAAAACTAAGTTTAGGATTTTATTCCCAAAGTCTGTTGCATTTCTCATATTCCCTATCTGGACTATGACATCCCTATCTACCAAGCTGTTCATGCCAAAAATCTGCACAGCCATTCTTGTCTCCTACCTTTTCCTAATAGTACTCAATCATTAAATTAAGTTATAATAGCTTTTATAAACAAATCATTTTTAATCATATAGTATAAATTCACATAGTATGAACACGGACAATAAACAGAAAAAAGAACAATTTTTAAACTTAGGTTGATGTCTTTTATTTTCTGAAACAATATTCCCAAGAATTAATTATAATTACAGGTTAAACATCCCTAATCTGAAAATCTGAAACCCAAAATACTTAAAAATCCACAACTTTTTGAGAACTGATAAAATTCCACAGTTGGAAAATTCCACAACTGATTTGATGTGTGAAACATTTTATACATAAAATTATTAAAAATATACTACTGCATATGGGCCAGGGATTTAGCTGAGTGGTTCCACCGCCTGCCTTGCAAGTGTGCAAGGTCCCAAGTTTGATCTCAGGTAACAAAAAAAAAAAACCTTGTAAAAAATACTACTGCATAAACTTACCTTCAGCCTAAGTGTACAGCACATATAAAACAAATTTTGTGGGCTGGGGATTTAGCTCAGTGGCATAGTGGCTGCCTGGCAAGCGTGAGGTCCTGAGTTTGATCCCCGGTATCAAAAAAAAATTTTTTTGTGTGTGTTTAGACTTGGGTTGGATCTCCAAGATACCTTATTATGTACAGTACATGCAAACATTTCAAAATTTGAAAAAAAACTCTGCAATTTGAAACACTTCTGGCCCCAAGCATTTCAGACAAAGGATACTCAACCTTTAGTATTAAAAAAAATATACATACACACATACATGGGGTATTCATCACTAAAAAATCAAATAGATATAAGCATATCACAAAGAACCCTTTGAAGTAAAGGCATGGTGTTGTAGTTTATATGTAAATGTCCCCCAAAAGCCTCATGAGCTCATATCCCTCCTCCCTCGATGCCTTGCTGCTTCCTACTGGCCATGCCCCTCTGCTATGCTCCCTGCCTTGGAGCCAGCTGACTACAGACTATCTCTACAAGCTGTGAGACAAATAAACCTGCCCTCATTTAAACTGTGGTGTTGGGTATTATGTCTCAGCAATGAGAAAATAACTAAGATGAGTGGCAATTTTTTCAAGTGGGAAAGACTTCCTGTCTAATGAAAATTCAAGGACCCAGGGTTATAGCACAAATACAAATAATAAAATAATACCTAAGACATTTTTAAGTGATAAAAGGGACAAAATACTGTAAATTATATTCTATACTGTTATTTATGAAAAAATATGCTTGTCTATGTGAACACCTTACATAGACATCTGGATTAATTTACAAATAATTGTTCCTTCAGGGGAGAATTAGCACATTAGAAGTTAGAAGCAGAATAATTTTACTATATGTTATTTTTGCACTATCCCCATTTTTTTAAAAAAGTGTATCCATTATTTTAAAATGTTAAAATACTATAAACTATAAAGCAAAATATTAAAGATTGTCTTTTTCAAGGGGAAAACCTCTATGAAAGTACTCTTAAGATGCCTAGGTTAGGGCTGGGGATTTAGCTCAGTGGTTTCACTGCCTGCTGTGCAAGCACAAGGACCGAGTTCGATCCCTGGTACCACAAAAAAAAAAAAAAAAAAGATGCCTAGGTTATAATGGCCCCATTTAAGCTCCAAAATGTCAATTTTAGAAAATTTAACTAAGAGTCAAAACAGTCTTTTAGAAACTGTCAAAAAGTACAATTCCTTTTACAGTCAGTATTAACAGTGGAGCAGTAATAATAAAATATTATCTTTTAAAAGACATTTATAAATTCTAATTCATTGTACATATTACTGTCAGATTAATCTTCCCAAAACATTGCTTTCACTATCTTGCTAAATTCCCTTCAATGATTCAATGCTTAAGAGCAAGGAACTTTCCAGCTTCCTTAAATTAGTACCAACTCACATTTCTAGTATTATCTCTTAATATTTTCCTAGACAGGCTCAAACATTAGTCAGCCTTGTAATTTAACCAAAAACCAGGTCTTATCTGTTCTTGAATTTGGGTTTTTGCTCAAGCTGTTTCTACCTTATGTACTTCATCAATTGTCATATTCTATACACATCTTAATATTTTCTCCACAAAATCCTCCCTGATCATCCAAGTAAAGTGTTCCAGAATTATTTTTTAATTGGAGTCTTACCCTCCCCTAATACATAGATTTTAAGCTCGCAGAGGGCAAAGACTATCTTATTTACCAGAGCACTATGTCTTCCATTACAAAACATGATTTGCAAATACAACTGGGAAAAGTTAAGAACAACTGATAATACAGCCTTTTCCTATTTTGGTAGAAGTACAAAGGGCAAAGGCAGACTAAAAAGA